CTTTGTTACCATACTATTATATATTTTGTTATTACGCTCGTATTATTACTATTCATCATAATCATTATTATAACTATTGTTACCATTTATTTTTATCATGGTGTATGTTATCATCGTATATCTTTTCTAATAATAAATAAGTCTTTACAATTTTTATCATTGTGCCATAAATTATAGCATAACAAAGCTAAATTATAGCATTAAAAAAAATGTAAGAGAAACGATAAAACATGATTTAACAAGATAAATTTTAATGAGCTTTCATTAACAAATTTCAAAGTTAAGAAAAAATTATGAATGCAGATCCATGCCTCAATGAAAAGCAGCAAGTGTAGAAAATATATATTTGTTATATTCAATGTCTATTAATAAAGTAATGACAATTATGAGAATTAAATAATAATTTAACCTATATTAAAATAGATAAAAAAAATAATAAAGAAAACATTTGATTAATGTTTTATTGGTCACTAAACACATTATTAAATTTTTGATTCCATTCACTAATGCTACATAGAGTTAGCTTCCCAATGCAGTTTCATTTGATGAAGTTCTCGGAATGAATACGTTCATTGGTTACAGCAGCATGAATGAATATGATAAGAAATAATTAATGTGGTTACTTTGAACGTACCGAACCAAACTGAAAGTTCATCCATATATTTATTAATTATAGCTTGGGGTACCCAGACCCATAAACAATGCCATTAGAATATCCAAAACAGGGTAAGTCGTTTTTATGTGTTACATGCATTCAATTTGGAGCAAAGCCACTACAACTCTAAGAGATATTGAAATATTATCTATTTTAAATTCATTTTAATTATATTGTTACCTGAATTCGAGGATTGCGTGCGGATTCTTTTTTATCGACTCGACCAGATATCGATTAGATGAAAAAATAAATAAAAATCTGTAAAAGATTCTTGGAAGTACGTGAATGAGAAGAACTAGACGAATGAAATATTATATAAAAGTCAAATAATAAAATTTTTTATATATTTGGAGATAAGTTGATATCTTAAGTTTCGGATATTAATTATCGTTTGAATACTGCTGAGATATTTATTTTAAGAATTTCACCATATAAATTAATTATAATTTCATAATTTTCTTTATGTATAAATCATCTATATCTGAGACATAGAAACCGTATAAAAAGAGATTGAGATGTGATGATGATGCAGAGAAAGCAACGTATGTAGGGTTTATTGTTTATTTGGTTTCACATGCAATGTGACTGACAACTACAAGAGTGATAATAATTGCTGCTATGATTATTGTTTTATAAATGAAAATAATGCATTTGTTTAACAGCGAATAGAGATGATGGGTGGTGGTTTTCACATGTACGCAGACTGCATGTTTGCGAATTCAATGGATGGTCGATCGGTCTCTGCTTTTCATTTTTAATTCTCATGCCTTTCTTTCTTTATGTTCATCCATCATCAACAAGAATATCCACAGGTTCTCTTGCATAGATAGGTTTAAATATATTCTGCTCACCAAAACAATCACAATTAGTGATTATCATTTTCCTTTTTCACTTCTAACAATCTATAGATTATCATTTTCCTTTTTCACTTCTAACAATATACACATGGGTCTTATTTTCTATTTCACACATCTATTAGCCAAACTAGTAAAATCATTTAACTTCTAAGAAAATACCAAGTTTTGTCTTAAACACAATTTAATTACGCTTAGAATCGGTATATGTCGTAATAATTTATCTTTTATTTTATTAACATATACATTACTCATAAATAACTTCATTATTTAAATATTTGATAAGGAAATTGTTTCTAATCCTTGTCTACTTAATTTTGACCTTTAGTAATTAATCATCTGATTAAATTGAATTCATTTGTTTCGGCTGAATCTAATTAAACTAAAAACCTAAACCAAATCAATTAATTTAGTTTTTATTGTTGGATTAATTGATATTGGAAATGAATACATATCTAATTCAATTTTAAAAAGTTGACTCAATATTATAAAATTTATATGTTATAAATTATTATATCTCTGTTTATAATATAAGTTTTTATCATAATCCTTCAAGGAATTTTTACTATATGTTTTATAGGTTTAATATCATTAAAGTTAATGATAGTATTATATTAAAAATGAAAAAATATATAAATTTTATCTTTATTTATTTATGTATTTATTTATAATATTATATATATTTAGTTGTTAGGATGTATGTTTAGATAATTTCGTATAGTAAAAAAAATTAAAAATTCAGAATACTAATAAGTCTTAACGAATAATTTTAAAAGATGAAATAATATATTATTACTAAATAAAAAATAAATATTTAAATAAATAAATAAATAAAAATATACAAATAAATATATTTAATTATTATTAAATTGAAAAAAAATCAAAATCAGAAATACGTATAAATTAAAAACCCTAAAAAACTCATCATTGTATGGATGAAGTACAATCCGGTGGCCACTAGACTTACAAACGTACCATTAACAAGGACTAAAGCTTGGATGCAATGATGAAATATGATTATCCATTATTTAATTCATGCTTCAACTTTTCTTGGAAACCTTCTCCTTCTACACAATTATCTCCATCTTTTTGTCTCTTGAAGCAGGGCAATTGGTCCCCACACCACAGCCATCTTTTCTTACTCTCGTCTCTCTCCCTTTAATTCTAGTCCTTTTAATTCAAAAACTTAAGTGATTTATTTACAGAGTAAAATTAGGTTAACATGTACACGTTTATTGCTTATTATTTCTGGATTAACTGCAATTAACTATTGAATTCAAGAAACATGATCTGCCACTCATGTTTTATATTGACTTTCTGTTTCGGTTATGTTCAACGTAACTCTACGGTTTTATATTATTCTTGAGAATATTAATGGATTCTTCTTCAAGTATTCATTAATGCTGTTGAAGCCAATGAAACACAAAACACTTTAAAGGCAAGGTATCGCATTAAAGTTTTAAAATTTAATATTAGCATTCATTATATTCAAACATGCAAAAATATTTTTAAGTGAGTCTTTTAAGGTTTTTAAAACATATAAGATTATTGTATTTTCTACAACTTCAAATTACCACAACTACCTCTAATTTTTTTTTTAAATTTAGAAATATAATTAGAAAATAAGTTATTGAGGAACAATTCAATAATTGATTTTTTTTTTTAATTATATGATGTGATACTGAGCAACTGATATGGATGATTGAGATAAAATTGTGTGTTTGCCACATGACGAATTTTTCTAATAGAATAATAAATGCAAGACTTGTCTAGCACACTAATAAAATAATAAAGATTTAAAATGCATATTTTAATAGGAATGATAATGAATTGGTTTTAGCTTGATTTTTATTAAAGATTTATTTAAATTAAATATAAATCAATTAAATGTATTTCCGCTTGATTTGTTTATAATTTAATATAAAATTCAAATTCAATTGATACTTATTATTTTGATTTGAATTTGTTTTATTATTTTGCTACTATCATAAAATTATTAACTAATTTTTAGAAAAATCTTTTTATAATAAAAATTATGAAATAAAAAGATATCATATATAATTTTAAATTGTTTTATTTCATATATAAGCTATATAATGTTATAGTTAAAAATTGTGTTAAGATTTATCTTTGGCATAAATACTAATTATAATAATATAATTATCATAATACAAATTTAATTTCTATATATTTATTAATTATCAATTAAATCTAATTATACAATATTATTAGGGGTTTGATTTAGTTTTCAATTTTTAATCTAGAATTTTAATTAAATATGTCATTTAAATAAAATTTTAAAAAAATTGATTTTGATTGATTTCGATTTTTAATATTCCATATTTTTAGTCCATTTTTTTATTCGATTTTTAATATTCGATTTTTTATTTTATTAATTTAATTAATTTTAGAAAATGTTTCTTTTCTATTTACTTTATTAGTTTAACAATATTTTAGTAACAAACTAAATATAATAATTGACTATATTTTTAATAATAAATTAAATAATTTCAAAAAATAATATAATAACCTAATAAAATATTTAATGACAAAATAATGATTACAATTTTATTATTATTATTATTATTATTATTTAAATATTTTAATATTTCAAGAATGACTATTTGTGTGCGTTATATGTATTGCTTATCGCTTTATGAGAATTAAAATGTATTGAGAACATTTATTTAATTTTTTTTCTTAAGAGGTAATATTTTTTCAATTACTCAATTTAATCCCACCTAATGCAGTTATAGATCGGTTAAGTTGCTAAAAATCGTCTTCAACCCATAAAAAAAAAATTACATTTTATTAATCAAAGTTGTTTTAATAGAATGTGAGTTACATTCATTCAATACTGAAGAATACTTTCGCAATATACTTGATTGAATTTAGAGGGATCATATTTTACAACGGTTATCCCAATATAATATTATTATATTAGTGTAATGGATTCTAAGATAGATTATATGCGTTGTAATTAGAAATCAGAAAATTTTGAGTGAGTCTCATAAATTTAATGACTTTCTCCTAGCTAGTGGGTAGTTTTCTATTATTTTTTACCCATAAAAAATAAATTTATTTAATAAATAAAAAAGATGATTATTTATTTAAAGAGAAATCATTATTAACTAGTATATTAATTTTAGATTAAGTAATTGATTGTGTTAAAAATGGCGCATAAAAACCTATATAAAAATCTTCTTTATCAGTACTGAATTTATATTATCAAATTAGTGCTAAAAGGTGGCAAGCAAAAACTAAGAAAAAAAATATCCATACTATCAGATCTGATTGATTGTGATCAACAACTACATTATTGCAGGCAAGAAGAATTCATCCACACACCAAGCTCATTCCTACCATCAAGTAAGGGAACATTTTGGAGATCTGGTGTTGATAAAAGCACAGTGGTGTGAAGAGACAGAGACAGGAAGAAAACTACATTACTCCATGCAAGAAGGGAAAGCAATCAGAGAAGAAGTAGAATTTCAAGATGCATATTGGCGATGATAGTCAGTGAAACGAGTGGCGTAGTATTTAGCAATGAAATCAGAAGCTTTTCTGTCAATACCAGGCTCTGCAACCCAATGCTCTCTGTCTTCATCACTTGCAAATATTCTTCTCCCACTCACATTACCTTCCCAGTACTCACAATCATACTTTCTTCCACCTGAGAAACAACCCTTCAATACCCCGCAAAAGGGGCTTGAAAATGACCTCTTACCTCCCATTTAGAAGATATAGGTGTATATCTTAGTGTCACTCTCTAACCTTCACAACTCCTAGTTTTACAAGGATGTTTAATAGAAGTGTTTTTGTGTTGAATTTTCTGCTTGTTTTGGTTGTAACATATATGCATGGAGTTCTTTATATAGCTTGAGTTGTAAGCTGTTCACGTGGTTGTCAGATGGTCTATTTGACTATCAAAAAGTAGGGTACGGATTCCCTGAACTCAGTTATAAGAATGGTAATAGTGAATATTGGAAAATTCCAAAGAAGCATAAGCATTATCTTCCCCTCCTTTTAAATTGGTACGCAGTAGAGGTGGAAAGTAATGCTGCCATAATTAATGTTTGGATAAGAGAAAGAAAGAAAGAAAAACCCTCGATCAAGGCTTTGCTAGTGTTGTCCTAACTAATAATGTTGCACCCAGCATAACTTGGTTGAGTTTGAGCTGACGTTATTCGACAGTCCAAACATATGTTGTGGTTGATTTAATGATGTTTAGATGTTTAGATTAAGGACAAGCCAAAGATATCTTAAACAAGATCAAACTTTTTAACAGTATGGGTCATCCAGTTAATCATAGTCTGAACAGAGGTGAGTTAATAATGTGTCCAAGATTCCAAAAAAAAGAATAATTGAAAGTTTCTTCGAATAAATGATACTTTTATCCCAAAAGAAAAGAATAACTCTTCCCATAGGATAACAATAGGAAAAAAAAAAAAATTGAACTTTTGACCCTTGACAATATATAAAGTAATCTAATTGATGTGGGACTTCTAAGACCAACCTATAATTAATTATGGTCCAAGCGAGAATGTGAGAATGATACCTAATTAAAGTTGCATTGATATTGTGTTGATCAAAGCTTTTGCCAACAATTTTCTTATCGAGGTCAAGTCATTGATCAAAATTCAGGAAACAATGATGGAGTGAAGGTCCTCAATTCAGGTTGAACGGACAATAATAATATACATGCAAACATTAAATTAAAAATAATGCGATTAATTAAAGTCAATTATTATTATTCTGTTAAGGGTGCTTTGTTGATGTCTAAATTAAGATAAAATATAAGCTAATAATGCTTTGTTTTATTCTAAAAAATATCCCAAATTCAATTGAAAAATGTTAAAAATATTATTTTGAAAATTATTATTTTTTATTTCAAAACAAATCTTAATAATATATTTTTTAAAATGAATCTTAATTAAAACTATTTAAAGAATAAATAGTTTAGAGATATTTGATTATGAAAAAAAAAGTAATTTAACGAAGTTTGAAAGAGAATATGTGTTGGATCATAAAAACAGTATATAAATCATTAATACTTTTTTTTTATGTGTGACACGAGATTAAAAAAAAAACACATTTTATTTGTGATTATTTTAGAGGATTAAAGATGGTAATGCAAGAATAAAAACATTGATTTTTTTGTTTTTTTAAGGAAAGAAAGTGAATTGAGAGAGTTTCTCCAGCTCTCGTAGAATAACAATTAGAGTTGAGATTCATTCTTTAATTGATTAATCATTTGATAAATAATCATAAGATTCTCTCTCCAAAAATATGTAAATATATTGTTGAAAATTACTATTATTAAAGAAGATGCGAAAACAGATTAAAAATTTGGTCATATTTTACTGAACTTATAAAATTGGTTTTGAGTTAATTTAGGCACATATCTATTTTTAATAAACAATGTACTTTTCACTTTATATGAAACATGTGTGAAGAATCTATACCCATTAAAAAAGCTTCATGAAAAAGAGAGGAATATTTCAAGCATTGTTCATATATAAGATGACAATAGAGAGATATAGGATGAGATTCTTTCAATGATTTTCTTCAAGGAGAGGTAAAATTTATCATTCTGTTTATATGATTTTAATTAATTAGTTTCACATAATATGTTTATGGAAACTATTTTGGAGTTATTCTTTTACTCTTTATTTTTGCATAGCTAATCTGTGTTCACATTTTGGTTGTTAGTTTTTTTAGCTCCCTTGATTTTTAATGTAATTTGGTCTTTAAATTAGTTTTATGCAATTTGGATCTATTAATTTTCAATTATTTATAAATCAATTCAATTTTCCAGTTTAATTATATATCGTATTTTATTACTTCGGATATAACACAATAAGATTGGGGAAAATGCATGATATTTATGTTTTTCTATAGGTTTGAATACGATAACAATTACAAAATTAACGACTCTGCTTTTTTTTTATTATTTAAAATTGAAAAAAGTTAAAGATACTTAAAATTGAAGAGATCAAAGATATGTTTATATATATATATATATATAAAAAGTCAAGAATCAAAATTACGAATAATTAAATGTTAAAGGATTAAAATCACGTAAAAAATATAAAATAAAATTATAATTTTTGTAAAATATTGGAATCAAAATTATAATTTAAAACTTTATTTTATTAATTTCTAACCGGAGTGAAAAAATTGAGTTTAGAAATGAAAAAAAAAAAGTTATGTTATTAGAGAATGTGAGAAAAAGAAGGTACAAAAGAGATTATGGACCTAGAGAATTTTGTAATGGGCTTAAACAATGCAGACAAAATACTCTATAATTCTTGAATGGGTTTCTTTTTTGAACCCTTACTTTTTTAACTACACCTCCTAATTATGTTTTCATATGTCGAATATCTTTTTATATGGAAGATCGGGTAAACCAACTTTAAAAATTTGTTTGATTTTACTTTTTGTTTTCATTTGACTCATTTCCATTTTATTTTAAACAAAAATTGAGTTTCATAGCTTTCATGTAAGAGAATCTAATAGAACAATTTTGACATCTTGAACTAATAATAAAAAAAACATAAAAAACTTATTCCAAAATTTGAAGAAATAAAAGAATAACATATGTTATGAAAAAATTAAAATGAAAAACTCAAGATATTTTTTTTAAAATGCTGATGTACAAATAAACAATATCATCAGACCAAAAATCAACATAATAATAATAATAATAATAATAATAATAATAATAATAATAATAATAATAATAATATAATCCATTACCCTTATGATTATGATTAATAACAAAATTCAATGTAATAGTAGAAATATAGTAGAATGTGACCATTGAAATCTTTTATAAATTTAATTTCACTTATAAATCTTTGAAAATTGTGATTGTATTGTACCTTCATTTTAATTCAAAACCAAGATCACTAGTTGAAAAAACTAATACCAATCTCAATTATTAAGCGGATTTTCTTTTATAATGTAAAATTTATTATAAAATTTGATTACTCGTAATATTATCCATTTTAAATTTTTATTTATTATGATTTTATTTTTAAAAGATTTGATAAATAAAAAATATTTAAAAATTTTGGTCAGAGTAATGAACAGGTTGGATACAAACTCATTATAAATTCTACATGGTGGAGATCCCACGAATATTATATATATAACCAATTTATTTATAATATAAAAGCCAACGGGAGAAAAGAAAAATCTTTGTTACAGCAGAAAAATTTATTTTAAAAGGATTACAGATTTACATTATTAATATAAAAAAGTACATGTTTCACCTTCCTTGAAATATAGATGTGGATCTATCATTCATATTTAAATTAAAGATTTGACACAAGTATCATCATTACTAACACATGAGGAACATTTGAAAAGTTGGAGGAAGATAGATAGATAGAGAGAGAGAGAGGAGATTAAGGTAGGAACCAAGTACAAGTAAGTCACCATAGCTATTTGTATGAAATGGGAATCAAGCAATGAAGAAATCAAGGCAATATTTCAAGATGCGAGTTGGCGCTGAGAATCAGTGATTCGTGTGGCAGAATATCTAGCAATGAAATCAGAGGCTTTTCTGTCAATACCAGGCTCAGCAACCAAATATGTTTTGTCTTCATCACTGGAAAATATTCTTCTGCCACTGCTTTCCCAGTGCTCCTCGTACTTGCTTCCACTTGAGAAATAAGCCTTGAATACACTGCTAAAGGTGTTAGAAGATGACCTCTTCGCTTCCATGGTGTGGTTTTTTTCCTCTTCTCTTTTTATGATGTGTGCAAGGCAACGAATTTTGTCACTGTCAACACTCACAAGTCACAACACTAATTTGTTTGTGTTGTGTGCTTTTCTTAGCAAATGCATGGGACTCTTAGTATTTATAGTGGTAATTAAGTCACATGGATATATCATATCACCTTTAAAAAAAGAAGGGTAATGATTCCCTGAAACCAATGATGTATAACTGATAAGAATTGTTATGTAATGATTGTGAAGCTTGGAAGAAGCATAAACGTTCTCGTCCCCTACTTTTTTAATTCTCATGCAATACTTCTCCCTAGCTAGGTGATACAGTGTCCAACTATGCTTTTGTTAACAATATGAGAAGATTCTTTTTTGTGTTCTCTTAATAACTTATGGTATCCTTTCTGAATAGGACCACACATACGTATGTTATGTGCATCCCAGTTAGTACTTTTTTATTTTACAGAAACATTCAAAATCTTATTTTGCATCTGTTTTCCACTTTATTTCTGGTTGATTGTGCATGCTTTGAAGTTTATGCAGATAATTTGAGTTGAAAAGCTTGGAAACAACTATTTGTCACCCAAGTGTCTTCTTGCTTTGTTTCCATTATGAGGCCCAAGGAAAATTAGTATTCCATGGGAGAAATCATCTGAATTACTGATCAAATTTGTGTATTAATCATGCAGAGTGAGTTGAGGTGTGGTGACATTCTGTTTAAAACTGTATCTCTATAATTTACCATGAGTTTTTTTTCATCTTTCACGTACTTCTGTACCTTCCAGCTAGTGTTGTAAAATGGTGTTAAATTTTATAGTAACAAAAAGGAAAGTCCGAAGAAATCCAAGAGGTAAATGTGATTAGATTATAATAATTTGATTAACTTCACATGCAACATCATCATTATGATTAGATTATAATAATTTGATTAACTTCACACATGCAACATCATCATCATCAGTTACATGCCATTAGAATTAATTTAGGTTTGAATAGCTTAAAGAAAACAAAAGAGAGGAGAAAGGAATGTGAAAAATTAATGAAATTATAATGTTTGGATTGTTAAATAAAGATTAAAAATAATAAAACTATTTTAGCTTGTATAATCTTATAATATTTATTTTCATTTATCAATTAGTAAATGAATAAGTTTTTATTTGTACGGGGATTTGAGGGAATTTGAGTAGATTTGTGGGATTGTTTGGATAAAGATAAAGATAATGGATTTAAAGATCTTTAGGTGAATTTATTATAGTGTATGTGATTGTACGTGATTGATGTAATTCAATATAGAATAATTGAATAATAATATTTTTAGTATAATGATTGAGATAAAATAGATAAATTAAATAAAAATTAAAGGTGTAATTATAAAAAAAATTATATTTATTTTTAAAATTAGATATTGTAACATCTAAAAAAATTTCATCTTCTAAATACAATATATTAAATTATACTATTTAGATAATTTAAATATATTTATAATAAAACAAGCATATATTAAAAGAAATTTATTATTATTATTAAATTATTATAATATATATAGATATAAATTATTATTATTATTATTATTATTATTATTATTATTATTGTTTAATGAAAGAGGAAGACAAATTTAAATATTAATTTTCTTAAAAGGAAAAAAAAATGAAAGATAAGGTTAACTTATCTTAAATGATAAGACTTATCCAAGTTATAAATGTATTTAATGACTTTATTAAGTAAATAAAAAAAAAAAGGCTATAAATGGAATGGGGAGGGGTGAAGTAGGAGGAAAGAAAAATTGAAGGAGAAGAAAGGAAAGAGAGGAGAGAGAAGGAAAGAAAGAAAGAAGAAAGGGAGAAGAAGGAGAGAGAGAGAGAGAGGGGAAGAAAGGGAGAAGAAGGAAATAAAGAAAGAGAGAGGAAGGGAAAAGAAGATAAGGAGACAAAGATAAGTTATTTATGTAAAATTTTAATACATTATTTATAGTTTTTAAGGTAGGGGAAGAGATATTTATTAATATTCTTCTTTATTTTTACTTATGATTGTGGAGTGAGGTGTCTCTAACTTCATTTTATTTATTCTTTATATTTTATTTATCTCCAATTACGTATTGGTTCTGTCTTATACTTGTTTATTTTATCTTCAGTTACGCACTGATCTTATTTATATTTAGTTACATACTAGTCCTATTTGTTTATTCTATTTTATCTTCACTCTTGCACTCTGGTCCTATTTATTAATTTATATTTATATTATTATAATAATATTTATTTATGAAAATTTGATGATATTATAGATGGAGGTTGGACCTTGAGGATTTAAATGAGTAAATATCATTAAGAGAGTAATTAAAATTGAGCTCGTTTATCCTGATCTAGTCACTACAAATTTAATTTAAATATTCATAAATGCAATAAATGAAATAAGTTGAGCAAGTTGAAAAATATATTTTATATATCATTGTAAGATGATATTATTTTAAATGATAATTGTTCTCACTTCCTTATTGTTATTTCTTGTGCATGTTACAATTAAAATATATCAACATAAATAAATGGAAGCATTAAGACGAAAGACACGTATCATTCACTATTAGAAGAAATTTTTTGTCAATTATAATAATTGTTTCTGATATAAAGATAATGTAAATTTGTAAAGTTCACATCTTTGTATGTATAAACATTTATCTCATATCTTATTTTTGTCAAAACTTAATAAAAAGTAATATTATCTTAAAATATGGTTAACAACTTAATAAATAAAAAAAGTTTTTCGTAAAATTTAATTTGAGTGATTATTATATTAATTTTAAAATTATTATTTGTTTTTTTTAATTTATCAATTTTGATAAATATAATATTTTAAATTCATAATCTAATTTTAAAAGGAAGAATTTTTTTTATACTTAAAAAAATGTAATATTTATTCATGAATTTTTATTTTAATAAAATTAATAAAAAATTAAATATAATTTTAATATTTTCTATATCTAAATGTAATATTAATATTTTTTATTAAAATCAATAAAATGATTAAACTTTTTTTAGTTCACGTAAGAGAGTGTTTTGGATAATTTAACTATTTTATTTGCAAATCAACATCTTTCTTCTTGAGGATTTCCCATTACATGCGACCCACACATAAATTCCTACCCATCCATTTAAATCCACCTAAATCTCTCCTCGCATATTAGCTTAAATAGTCAATTTATAGAAACAAACAAGGGCCACAAGTATATATTTGCAAAATGATTAATTTAAGGAACTATAGTATTTTAACTTAGTCAAAGTTTATAATAAATAAATACTTTTAACATATAAAAACTATACTATATTGTATGTAAAAAATGTAATGAATTAAATAATTTTAATATATACACTATATTTCATATTGATGTTAAATAAAGTGTACTGTGAAGCAGTATTTTGTTTTCTGTTATTTGATATTTTATTTTAAAAATATTTAAATTAATTTAAAAATAAAAATTAAAACAATAAATTGAAAGACAAGTATAAAATGAAGAAACAAAATTGCATGGTGTGGGATTACATTAATAGCCATATTGTTTGAGCTAATTAACGAGTAGTTGGATCCACACAAGTGATGGGAACCAAGAAGTAGAAGTGATCAGAGTAAAAGACATAAACCAAAAATGTTACGTGGATCCCACAAATCTATTATAGAAAGACAGAAAGAAATATAGCATTAAGATAAGAGGTACATGATAGTAAGTGAAAGATAGAGAAAAATGATGAGGATTAATGTGGTGTTTAGGATGATAATACATGTCATTATTCAACAATTATGATAACTGCATGATTCTTTCAAGATGCAAATTTGGTGTGAGAGTCAGTGAGTGTGGAGGCATAGTATTTAGCAATGAAATCAGAGGCTTTTCTGTCAATGCCAGGCTCTGCAACCCAATGTGGTCTGTCTTCGTCACTTGCAAATACCCTTCTCCCATTCCCACTCCCTTCCCAGTACTCATCACACCCATTCTCACATGAGAAACATGCCTTCAGTTTGTTGTAAAATGAGTATGTGGATGACCTCTTCCCTCCCATTCTCTCTTCCCTTCTCATCATCACTCTCAACACAACTCCTTTCCAATGTTTTCAACCACAAACTTGTATCTAGTTTTCAGTGATTTGCTTATACATGCAGCTGTTTGTATTTATAGAAGGTGGCAAAGCAATAGTCACATGGTTATGTTATCCCACCTCACCCTATTCTTTAATTTATGATCAAAACAAAAGGAGGATAAGGATTCCCTGAAATCACTGATAACTGATAAGGATGGTTTTATATCATATATGATTGATCCACACAAAAGAGGCATATCGTCCTCTCCTTTTCAATTGTCACGCAATCGTTCTTCCCTACCTAGCTTGGTAACACACTGTTCAATTTTGCTTTTGTTAGTTACCATTACTATTCTTTCCCTAGATTCCCTTTTTTGATTATGCAAATAATGCTTACGGAATTAGAATAGTCCAAAGTAAACCAGTAATCCAAATTAACCCAAGCAAATTAATTAATAGGTTAAGTTTGGATTTTCATAAACTCAGTTCAATTTTGTGAACACCCTTGGTCGATGAATGCTTGTGGTGAAGTTCATAAATCTTACATAGCAGGTGCATGCAGAATAATTAGGTACATCAAAGAGAAATTAATTGTAGGGGCACCTAATAACTAGGCCTTCTTGATTTACACCACGAATCAATTCCTCACACTGTGTACTGGTTCCAGTGTTGGCTAGGATTAATTCGCACATTGCTTTAAAAGAAACCTGCAATTAATATAAATAAAAGTCCTGCAATCTCTTGAAAGGTCTTTAAGCAGTACTCTTACTCTCTATTTCTAAATAGAATCTTAGTCTCTTCTAAATTTTTAGTTTTAGTTTAATCACATATGTTTAAAGTGTTTCACCTGTATTAAGGCAATTTTACATTAACACTGGTAATGTAAAAATTTGAGGGAAGAATCAATTTTGTCAAGCATTTTAAAAGACTCAAAATTAGAAGTTTTTAAAGGTAAGAAACTAAAAATTAAATAAGGATCAAAATCATCTTCACTTGATTGTTAATAAACATATATAATTTTTCTATGAAGATAAAAGCAATTAGGCGAAGATGCCCTCTGAAAGGGGTCAACAATAGGTGTTTTTAGGGCGCTGTACGTCAATCGCTACAATTTATTTTCAGTCATACACTTTAATTTCTATTACATTAAAATTGCAAATAGTAGTTGGATAATAACTTATAATTTATTTGACCCCATTATCATATTTGTGTTCATATTTTTAGATATGGAGGTATATATATAAGAGGGAAAAATACAAAAGCATTTTTGCTTCATGGTTTGGTATTATATAATTTAGAGTAACTAGAAAAGACCATTGCTTGTGCATATAAGTTTGCTAATTTTAGTTTAATTAATAGGTGATGTTTATTTTGGTGGCACCTTATACCAAACTAAAGTAGTTAAGAGTTTTTTTTTTTTTTTTTTTTTTTAAAGGAGTAAATTACGTGTATTTCAGTTTGTATAATTTGTTCTCTTGATTTTTAGTATAGTAATATTTATTTTTATACAGTGCAAATGATCAACAAAACTTCAAGCTACCAACAAAATTAGTATAGAAGATATGTACTAATAATTAGAATTCTTTGTGTTCAGGGAAACACAAAATGATTTGACGTACTTTGGTATCACAATATAGTTTGCATTGCTCGCAATAACTAAACCATGTAAACATTAAGGACAACAGCTAGAATACATTCAGTATGGTCTTTATAGACCGGAAGTTTGTTCCAAACAATTCATATCCAACTAAAGTAAATATGAAAAAAAAAAAAATCAAATATGCTCTCTTCCTCTGCACTGCAAAACAAAATAACAGCATATGTCAAGCTTGTATCATCCAAATACAACTCTTGTCTATCCGTCCATAACAGATAACTCCAAATCAGATTCCACCAGTCCGTAGAAGATCACCCTTTCTTTTCCTGGTTCAAGACCAATTAAACATGCTAAGTTGGAATCTGAAGTGCTGCATAAAAGAGCAATATATATTCCCAAAGTATCCAACAAGATTCTTAAATGTCATGCTGTATAGGGTTAAAGTGAAACATGAGTGCATTTTGATATTATCTGTGCTCTATCTTACAAGGCAAATCATATATATTTTGGACTGAAAGATGTAGAAAATAGCAACTGAGTTGTTCTAATTGAATAGTGTTACCAGCATGAAAAGTAGGCGTTGTACAGAAGAGCCAGAAGTGAGAACCTTATATATGGTTCCAAGGATGGACGACATTGACTGATGACCGAGATGCTGGAATGATGTTCCGACGTATCACGTGATGTACATCAATAGTCATTGTGATGAACACATTTTGGTGATGGTGTATTCCATGCAAGCTTTGCCAATGGTTCTCCCAAAAAGAGGCAAAGAGGACAAACTTCCTTTGTGAAATGCACTCATGCTCGCACTTACATTGTACCAACATTGCACGTTCACTGAGAAGAAGATTCTATTTGTCAACTCATTATCCAAATGCTGCCCTTTTTATTGGTCTAATGGGAAGTTGGGGGTGAGAAGAGATATGGAAAAATGACAGAGAGAAGCTTCAAAGAAGTTCATGAACGATGGAGTAGGGTAGGACTTGCCCAACCAAGAAATACTTGTGTCTCTGAGACTTAGACGTAGTGTGTTTGGACTCGATTTATGTTTGGCTACTTTTACAGTAAAACTACTTTTATCAAAATGGAAACATGATTCAATGGTAAATAAGTAAAAGCACACTTTACATATGTAATTACTAAAATGGGTTTGACTTTTATAATATAATATAAATACTATTTTTTTAAATATTATATTAACTGGTAGTAATATTGTAAATTAAATTATAAGAATTATAACATTTTTATTATTATAATACTTGAATAAAATAGATATTTTTTAATTAACCTAGGTTATAAGAATTACAAATACATTATTAAACAATAAAATTTTATCAATGTTAGTAAATTTTACTGATAAGTAACGTATTTCTGATGGTTGATGAATAAACGTACCTTGATAATTAATGATGGATATATATATATATATATATATATATATATATATATATATATATATATATATATATATATATATATATAACTGTTAGTAATTGTTAATGAGTTATTGATTATAATTATTGACAAATTTATGTCGCAAGTATTACCCACGAACTAGCTAACTACAATAAATCACAATTCTTGCTAATTTTACCTAAATCCTTCAAAATCACTTTACATAAAATGGTATAAAGTTTGGAGTAAACAAAATTTAATACATAAAACTTGGAAAATTGTATGAAATGGGTTTATTTAATAAATTAAAAAATTATAAATAAAAATATTACTTATTTAATTTTATTTTATAAAATATCGTTGTCTTTTTACAACTCTTTAGTTCTATCATTATAAATCTTCTTACCCTTCTCGTATTTTTATAAATCCAAACACATTTTATGATTCTTAGAATAATTAATAATCATTCTCAATCAGAATTTCTATTAGATAATTTTTCTATTTTTAAAGTATTTTTATGTTAAATTGAGAGATTTTGTATTTTGAAGTTATTACACGCAAGCTTTTTGTCAAGTAAAGATTCATCTTATTACTTATTACTTTTTATTTTTTATGATGCCATGCTCGATAAAAAATAGGAATGATTATATATATATATATATATATATATATATATATATATATATAATTTTATATATTTTTTCTTATATAATTTTTAAGATAATAAAAAAAATATATTTTATGTTTTTTGAAAATACTTAAAAGAAAAGCTCCTCTAATTATATTTGTAATACATGAGTTATGGAACATTACATAGTATTAGAATTAATTCCAAGAAAGTATTAGTGTGCAACTATAAACAAACAGAAAGATTATTAAAAAAAAAATTAGAACAACTTGACAATATCTCAATTATCATCACTTTCTTAATCGTGATAAAAGGGGAAAATAATTGCAAGTTTATCGTTGGGAACATGAAGACATCGAATTTATGGGTGGTTTCCATATTCCTTTTCGATGCTGCATATCTATTTTGATTTGTTACATTCATGATGTATCTGCTAATAATTATATATACCACTTAGATTAAAAAAAAATTTGATTTTACTTTACATTATATAGCTTAATTGAACTTCATTTTTTGTTTCCATTCTTAAATACAACACTGTTACGGCTACACGTTTAGGTTCAATCTTTCCCCACCAGTCAATTTTGTTCAAGTAATTAATTAATGTGTCGAGAAAGAAATTAACAAAGTAGTGCATTATACAAATGAAAAATCAGAAAGCAAGTTCTCATCATGATTGAAATAAAGCAACGATGTCACATTTATTTATTTTACAGATAACGTTGAGTTATATTCTTGTAACACCCCCAAACAAAAATGTGTGTACTCTGAGGTAACAAATATTCCGTTACACCTCACAAATTCCGTTTCATACAATACTGTATTATCCATTTAAAAAACAAAAAAATTCTTCGTAAAGATTATATGATATTCTTCTGTTGTCCAAAACAAAAGGGCTTAGGAATATTGTCTAAAAGCAAAGACAAGTGACAGGACAGAAAAAGTTACAAACAATGAACTTGCGTTGATTTCCAGATTCCATCGACCAGAAACCATGTCCCTTCAACATGATTTTATAAGCCTATAAAAACTTTATCCGACTAAAACAGAACATAATATGAAGGAAAATTGTGAGAAACTTCATCTCTAATTTCCAAGATTTTCACGCTGACAATATTTTTTTAACCACCATTTTGTTGAATCCATGTCACTCGTATGATCAAAACTAAGGTATATAAATGAATATAAAGTTTTGCTTTATAAACTAATTTTACAAATTTGAACTAACCTCAACTTCCCTTTTTTTATATGATATCTCAGTGTATCCTAGTAAATTTTATTAGATTTATTGTGTCAAATTGTTATTCATTTGTTACTCCGGCTATTCATAAATATTAGTGTCACTCTTATGATAAGCTATAAGATTAATAATCTTCTTATGTGTGATCAGTTTTTTAAAAATCCAGTGAGAGAGAAAGTAAAAACTTTATCACTATGTAACATGATATACAACAGGAGGAGGTAAAGCTACATTATTCATTACCATCAATATCACACAACGATTGGAAAGTGATAAGCAAGTTTAAGAAAAACAATATAATACATAGATTTAAGAAGTGTGGAAGGTTGACATGGTGAAACCAGTATCGAAATTGAAGGAACCAAATTAAGTACAGAAGTGGTGTGAGGAAAAAGATGCAATGTGATGGATAGTTGTTTATGCAAATTGGCGTTGAGAATCAGTGATTCTGGTGGCATAGTGTCTAGCAATGAAATCAGAGGCTTTTCTGTCAATGCCAGGCTCAGCAACCCAGCGTCCTCTGTCTTCATCACTAGCAAATATCCTTCTCCCACTGCCTTCCCAGTATCCATCATCATCACTATCCCCACTTGAGAAACACGCCTTCAACACACTTCCAATGGAGCATGTGCTTGACTTCTTCCCTCCCATTCTCTCTTCTCTTCTTCTTCTTCTTCTGATACTGATATGATGATTTATTCCAACTCTCACCCTCCACTCAATTCTCAACTCTCTACCCTCACAAACAAACAACCCTTTCTTCTCTATTCAACCCTACGTAACCCTACTAATGAACCTCCTATGTCACTGTTGTCGAGTGCTGTGCTTATCTTGTTGCAACTTGTGTTAGTATTTATAGACTCGCAAATTATCTATTGTTTTAGAAAAGAAAAAGGGTAGTGATTTCCCTTGGATAATCACTGATAAGAATGGACGTAAATGAATCTGAAAAGAAGCATAAGCGTTTCTGTCCTCTACTTTTGATTTGTCACGCAACAGAGTAATATAAACACAATATGAATAAATACATCTTAAAAATTATTGGATTGACAGCATGTTCTATAAATCATAGCAACTCTGATACTGAAAATCATTGTGAATGCATAAATTATTAGAAAGCTCAGTGAAAAAGAAAAGAAAATAAAACAAAACTTCTCACAGAGCCAACCAGATATTTAGAAATTCAACTATAGGTTACATGGAGAAAAACCTTTTACAAGATCTGTAAATCAAGGAACACGATCAAAAGTCATGCTGAACTATTGAGACTCTTCCCAATATGTCACATCATAATTTTTTGTTGATTGGAATTTTAAAAATATTATTTTTATAAGTGAAAAAATAAGAAAAATAAAATAAGACAAACATCTATGAAGTTAAAAGTAAGAATTTAGAAAAGTTATAGGGAATTTTTCCAAATTAAATAATATATAAATTAATTTTAATTTATGAAGAAATTTATTTAATTTTTCATCATATTTTATAAGTATTTTTTTTAAATGTTCTATCATACTTACAAAGCATCTCTACATTCCCATGTTCACGAATTTATTCAACTTCCCATATTTTCCCTCGTCTTCTTGGCCAGTAATATATTAGTAAATACAAAATAACTATGTTTTTATGTTGTATATAATACAGCCAAAGAACATAAGCCACAATACTAAGATTGTTTGTCAATTTTGAGATAAATACATAATTAAATTTGTAAATATTTACATGAGCTTTGATTATTAATGCTATGCAACTTTGTCGGTGCTTTCTGTTTGCGTTGTTTGCGCTGTTTGCGCCGCCTCCAACGCGAATTGTTGACCGTTAGCAATGCATAGCGAAGGATAAAATTTAATCTGAAAAGGACAAATTCATTTAATTTTTTTTTTAAATTCGTTTCATAATTTTGTTTCTCAGAACTATTTTAAATATAAAAGAATAATATAAATAATCACGTAATAAAAAAAATGATTTTAACAATTTTAGTACGATGAAAATTTTAATTTATATAATTATTAGTAAAATTATTTAATAATACAAATATAAAATATTTTTTATTAATTTTTATTTTTTAATATTTAAAAACTAAAAAATGAAACAATGTTTATAAAATGTTTTGATAAAATAATTATAAAAAAAATAGATTTTAAAAGTTAAAAAAATATAATTATTTTTAAAAATAATAAACAAACTTTGCTTGAAAAGAGATCAAACTTAGGATCTCCAAATTAGGTTATGTGTTGTATACCACGACACAGAGATATTTTTTTTTTTTATTAAATGATTGATAAAAGTTATTTTATTAATGATTTAAAATTATGATAGAATATATATATAGTATCTACACTTGGCTCTTCTCATATTAAATTCAAATTAATAAAGAAGGAAAAGAAAGATGCAAGAAATAAAGATAAAACCTTTTGTTTTGTATTTGATCCAAATTCAATTGTACCAGTTGTACACACCTTATTCTATGCTCTTGCTTTGAGGATCCCTTAAGAATTAAGTTCTCAGAAAGGTATAGGACAGCTTGAGGGCACTCTGTGGAATCAAGGGAAGGGACTTTCTCTTAGCTATGTATGTTTAGGACTTGGCCTAAACATATAACCACATATAATAACAATATGCCATGGAAAAAGCTTGCTTTCTTAAGGACAAATCTATACAGGTACAAAGTAAGGGCTTCGTCTTTACATACTTATATCGCAAGTTGTTGTTTGAGTAATAATAATATTTTTAAATTGGATTGGTAAGTTTTCAACATTTAATTAATAATATTTTATAAAAAATTGATTAATAATATTAGTTTTTATAAAATAAAAACAAATATTTATAACAAGAAGACAATCTCATAAGCTATAATAAAATTATAAATATAAATTATATTAAAGAATAAAAAACTTCTACTAAGATTAAAAAAACAACTATTATATGATTGATACGAGATAAAATACAAAGAATAAAAAAAATATTATATTTTTTATAAAAATATACCTTTTAAAATTTTAACAAAATTATCAAAAATATTTTTATTTAAAATCTCAATTAATTTTTTCAATTTTGTTTTGATTTTTCTAATTTTATATCAATTTAATTAAAATGTTATTTTTTTTAAAACAATGAATCGATTTCTAACTCTTTCAATTGAACTTTCGATTTTTAAAATATTGAGTAATACTGTATTATTAGTGTCTTTGATTATGGATAATTATGTTATTAATTGTTTTAGTGTCTTTAATTTTGGTAATTACGTTGTTAGGGGTACTAACTGGCTTCCTTAATCAGTCAACTTGATAAGTCATCTTTAATATAGTTTTTCCTTCTAACCATAATTTTTTCATCCACCAAATTCAAATTTAAAAACTTAGTTAAAGGAATTAAATATAGTGAAAATGATTATTAATATATGAGACCCTTCAAAAATAGATAAAACGTAAATGTAAAATAAAGTTACACTGTTGAAATGTATATTTTAGCATTTGGAGAATGATAGAAATAAAATAAGAGATAAATCATGTGTTTTTTGTGTAAAAGTATAAGTATGAATAAAAAGTGATATTTTCTCAAAAGATATATATGAGATGTAACATTTTACAAACGTATATAATTTTTTTTTATTTAGAGTAGTGAGACGTGAATGTTATTCATCAAAGTTATTAAATGTATTTTTTGAAACATGATAAATCATTTTGTTAAAAAACTGAAATTTTATTTCAATAATTTACAAAATAAAAAAATACATTTTAAATATACGTGTTGAGTTAAAATTTGGATTATAATTAGACAGAAAATATATGTAAGTTTTGCCCAACAAATGCCCAGAAGTTAAAACATGCTTGAATTAAATTCCATTCAAAGTATGTATTTTACATCATAGCAGAAGAAAATGAAAATTCACACACAATTGAGCATAAGCATTATTCTGTAGGCATTATTTATACAAGGAAAAGAAGGCACCTAGGCAAACAAAGTGATAATAACAAGAGTAACAAAGAAAGTTGTGTAGTGTTTGATGCAGCTATCTGGGGGAGAAGTATTGCGTGACAAATCAAAAGTAGAGGACAGAAACGCTTATGCTTCTTTTCAGATTTACGTCCATTCTTATCAGTGATTATCCAAGGGAATCTCTACCCTTTTTCTTTTCTAAAACAATAGATAATTTGCGAGTCTATAAATACTGACACAAGTTGCAACAAGATAAGCACAGCACTCGACAACAGTGACATAGGAGGTTCATTAGTAGGGTTACGTAGGGTTGAATAGAGAAGAAAGGGTTGTTTGTTTGTGAGGGTAGAGAGTTGAGAATTGAGTGGAGGGTGAGAGTTGGAATAAATCATCATATCAGTATCAGAAGAAGAAGAAGAGAAGAGAGAATGGGAGGGAAGAAGTCAAGCACATGCTCCATTGGAAGTGTGTTGAAGGCGTGTTTCTCAAGTGGGGATAGTGATGATGATGGATACTGGGAAGGCAGTGGGAGAAGGATATTTGCTAGTGATGAAGACAGTGGACGCTGGGTTGCTGAGCCTGGCATTGACAGAAAAGCCTCTGATTTCATTGCTAGACACTATGCCACCAGAATCACTGATTCTCAACGCCAATTTGCATAAACAACTATCCTTCACATTGCATCTTTTTCCTCACACCACTTCTGTCCTTAATTTGGTTCCTTCAATTTCGATACTGGTTTCACCATGTCAACCTTCCACACTTCTTAAATCTATATATATTTATACTTTCTTATGACTTTTCATGTCGTGGTGTAAGTGTTTTGTTCATGAACATTTTTCATGATGCTGTATTACGTTGTTGAGAAAATATGTTTCTCTTTAGCTCATCATGGTTTCACTCTTAGTCCTTTGAACTGAAACTGTTATCTCAGACTAACTCTTCAAACATAACAAAAGAAGTCCTATATATATATATATATATATATATATATATATATATAGCCAACATAAGCTCTATTACAGTTTTTCAAGTTACGCATATAATTTACCAGCACAAATTTACGGTGATTTCTTGGTTCATTGTTTGCCACAGTGGTTTTTATTTTACTTTTCTTGAAAGTAAACATACAATAGCATACTAACTACGACTAAAACATAACTATAATTTTTATACAGCATCAATCTGAGAAAATCATGTTGAAGGGACACGGTTTCTTATGAACGAGGGAATCTGGACTTAATATAAGTAAATGAGTTTGTTGTTTGTAACTTTTCCTATCCTTTTACGTAATCTAATTTCTTCTTGATGCGTCCTGTGTCCGTCACGTTCAACACAATATTCCTAAGCCCTTTTGTTTAAGGCAACAAAAGATAATTATGAATTTCAGAAAGAAACAAATGAATACCTCAAATACCCATATGATATTTTTAGTAAGAGAAAACAATATAAATATTACATGTGACAAGATACAAATAAAAAGAAAGATATGATAAATTGAAAGTATTGTTTGAGTGTTTAAAATATAATGTCTTTATATATTATCACTTTTTAAAAAAATTTATTTAAGGAGATTACATTTATGTTTGGGATAGTTAACTTCATACTAGTTAGCCGTGGTATATGTTTTTAAAACTAGTTCTTAAAATTTTTATTAAACTTTTATAATACTCAAATTCAAGAGTGGTGTTTTCAGTTTCTCAAATTTTAAAAATTTTTTTTTTTTTATTTTTTGAAACTAGAAATAGCCTTTTAAACCTCAATTAAAATTCTAGTCCTCAAATAAAAATAAATAAATTTTTAATTCTTTTAATGTAAAAATAGAGTTAAATTGTTATACATAGAGTTTTGGCTTAAATTTAATTTTGAGAATAAAGTATACGACATGTGATTATCATATATGAATATATATATATATATATATATATATATATATATATATATATATATATATATATATATATATATATATATAGTTATTGTTTTCTTTTGTGAATTTAAAGAGAAGTAATACAATTTTGTTTTTTATAATGAAATTATATTATTATTTATTATTGATATTTTTTTATTTTAATTATGAATTCTTATTTTATTACTGATACCTAACTTAATTAATAGTATATTTTATAATTATGATTAATCTTATCTTCACGATAAAAAAGAGTTATTCTTTCGTGTGTAATCACCTTTCTTTCCCGTGAAACTTACCTGATTTATTAATTCATGCAATATACTATTTTGTCCAATATTACGAAAAAGTATTCAATAAAAGAGATTTAGATATTTTCATCAAATTATAAAGATAAAATTCACTTTAGATTTTACTATATTCAAATGATCAACTCCTTTTTGATATAATAAATAATAATATCATAGACATTTATATTTTGAAAATGTTATTAAAATTATTCTTGAAAAAAATCCAGACAACAAAACAAAGTGAAAAATTCAATACAAACAGAAATTTTTACGATGAGAAGTAAATCGAAAGAACATGACTCTATAAGAGGAAATGAGATAAAGAGGAATGCAAAGATGAAAATAAAAGATACAGAGACACATGGCGAATTTGAAACAAATTAATGTGCAATGTTGGTACAATGTAAGTGCCAGCATAACAGTGCATTGCACAAAGGAGGTTGTCATCTTGTGCTTTTTCTGGGAAAAGCATTGGCAAAGGTTGCATGGAATCACAATCATAAAAAGAAAACATTAAAATGACAAGATATATTTTAAAGCATGCACACGTCGGAACATCATTCCAGCATCTTGTTCATCAATCAATGTCGTCTATCCTTGGAAGCATAAGGTTCTCACTTCTGGCTTTTTGGCACAACGCTGCTTTCACTGCCGGGAAATACTGTTCAATTAGAGCAACATAGTTTCTACTTTCTACAGTTTTCACTTCAAAATATATATATACTGAATAATGCCTTGTAAACTGTCGTACATGTTAATGTCAAATTCAATTCTCTCATGTTTCACTTTTTTCCCTATACAGCATGACATCTGAGAACCTTGTTGGATACTTGGGAATATTGCCAGTGTTTCAGATTCCAACTTAGCCCGTTTAATTGGCCATGAAGCACAAAAACACGTGGTCTTATGCAAAGTGGTGGAATCTGATTTGGAGTTATCTGGTCTAGACTGATAAACAAGATTTATATTTGGATGATACAAGCATCTCTGATTTGTTTCATAGCTACTTCAGCAAATGAATTGTTTGGAACAAATTTCCAGTCTATTAGTACTGAACGATTGTAAAGACCATACTCAATGTAGTTCAGGTTCTGTGGTGGTTGATGTGTTCAGTGTGGATTATATCATGCTTATTCATATCTCTATAAGAAGCCAAGATGCTTTCTGTCTTTTCCCTCTTTATATACCTGATCTACGTCCAAATTATGATTGACAAACCACAGATAAAACGTGGCAAATATCCACTCAATCAATCTTTGCAATGTTTCATTGATAACGACCTTTGCCTTAATAGTGAATGTATTCCATGCCTAAGTTTGGCAACCTTAGTGTTGACATGATATTTGCCTTAATAGAAAATTTGTGGGTATGGAAATCCAGAAACTTGGAAGGGAGAAAAGACAAAGATGAAAAGGAAATTTCATACATATGCATTCTCTTACTTGAGTAATGGGATTTATGTTGTTGATCTTGTAAAGGTAAAACAACCGTTAAATATTTTTTTTAAATAATTTTTTTCGTATGTACTTGTAAAATATTGATGTACTCAATTAAATAAGATAACTGTAAATGTACAATTATAAAACATTACATATTCAATCAAAACCGATATCTTCAAAAACAAATATTATGCATGTCTGTGTCACAGTTGTAGTCCTTGTCCTGAACTATGATGGTAATCATCATACGCACTTCGTGACATGCAAAACCAGTACGAGATCTCAACTTCTTCGTTAAAATTTCACAACAAGCATTCGTCGACAATGAATGGTGTTCACAAAATTGAACTGAGTTGAAGAGAATCCAAATTCTACCAATTAAAGATTAGTTCGGATTAATTTGTATTTATCGCACTGTTCTAATTCTGTCAGCATTATTTACATCATCAAAAAGGACGTCTAAGGAAAAAGAATAGTAATGAAAACTCAAAAACGCTAGGTAGGTGAGAACGATTGCGTGACATTGAAAAGGAGAGGACGATATGCCTCTTTTGTGTGGATCAATCATATATGATATAAAACCATCCTTATCAGTTATCAGTGATTTCAGGGAATCCTTATCCTCCTTTTGTTTTGATCATAAATTAAAGAATAGGGTGAGGTGGGATAACATAACCATGTGACTTGCTTTGCCACCTTCTATAAATACAAACAGCTGCATGTATAAGCAAATCACTGAAAACTAGATACAAGTTTGTGGTTGAAAACATTGGAAAGGAGTTGTGTTGAGAGTGATGATGAGAAGGGAAGAGAGAATGGGAGGGAAGAGGTCATCCACATACTCATTTTACAACAAACTGAAGGCATGTTTCTCATGTGAGAATGGGTGTGATGAGTACTGGGAAGGGAGTGGGAATGGGAGAAGGGTATTTGCAAGTGACGAAGACAGACCACATTGGGTTGCAGAGCCTGGCATTGACAGAAAAGCCTCTGATTTCATTGCTAAATACTATGCCTCCACACTCACTGACTCTCACACCAAATTTGCATCTTGAAAGAATCATGCAGTTATCATAATTGTTGAATAATGACATGTATTATCATCCTAAACACCACATTAATCCTCATCATTTTTCTCTATCTTTCACTTCCTATCATGTACCTCTTATCTTATGCTTATATTTCTCTCTATCTTTCTATATCTCATGTAGATTTGTGGGGTCCACGTAACATTTTTGGTTTATTTCTTTTACTCTGATCACTTCTACTTCTTGGTTCCCATCACTTGTGTGGATCCAATTACTTGCTAATTAGCTCAAACAATATGGCTATTAATCCGAAACCATGCAATTTTGTGGTGTAACATGTTCAAGGGTGCTAATTACTTTGCAGCTCGTGATATGAAGCATGAATTAATATATATTAATTTGGAGGGAATAAAATTAGAATTATTGTAAATTTTAAAAACAAGATATAACTAAACCTAAATTTAAAGTTATAAATTTATCAAAGAACCCCCCAGCAGTGTTAGAGAGGCAAGGCCACTTGGCTGAGAAACCATGTGATGATGTTATGATATTCTAAATCTTAAGGACCTTGAACCATTACACTGTTCTTAGGCATTAAGGTTTCTATGAGCAAAGAAATAACTCATTTTTTTTCTCTCAGGCTAAATATATTTGAAACCTTCTTCATAGAGAAAAAAATGAATGATTCCAAACCTCTACCAACTCCAATGGTCTCGGATCTGAAACTCACATATCTACTGGTTTTGTAGTTGTATCTGATCCTTCAGTTTTCTTATTTCATTAACAAAATCCACCAATATATGCATAAACCGCAAAACATCACTGGAAAGTATCATTGACTATGTTCTACACTATAACAAGCCACCTTGCATCATTCTTCAAGGTTTTTTTATTTCAATTGGGGAGTCGATCCTGCTGATAGAAAATCTATAGGATTTTGTTCCACCATTGAAGGTAACTATTGTTATTCATGAATTTTAAATCATTTATGAGTGGAAGAAAAAAATTATGATAAACTATAATTAAAAAAAAAATGAAACTGTTGAATATTTAAAAAAAATTAACCTTACAATGGTTGAATAATATTTTGAGCCAACATATATTTTGTGAGGGACAAAGTCATTAAAAACGCTTCTTCCATTTAGGGTGTGTTTGATTTTCCGGACGGAAAGACAATAAAAAGAAGATGCATAGAAAGTTGGAAAATCAGATGAAAATTTTGGATATTAAAAAAATAATAATAATAAAAAATAAAAAAATTCATCCCTCCCTTCTTATAAAAGAAGTCATAGAAATAGTGCGATTATTTAAAATCAACTACTTAATTTTTATTTTAAAATATTAAAAAAAAATTATAATTATAATAAATAATTAAAAATAATAAATAACTTTATTTTAAATTTTAAATTTATTTATTATTTATTTTTTAAAGATCCCAACAAATAATCCTTAGTTATTAAATCTCTCTTTCATGGATCAAATATTTCAAATTCTTATCCCTAATAAAATCGAAATAATCATTAAATTGATTAGAAAATTACTTACAAAATTTAATTATTTTATTATTTTTTTTCATTTCTAATCATCTTTCTCTTCATCCACATAATTTCATTTTTACTTTTCTATTTTCTTAAATCCACCTCCATATATCCATCTTCCCGTTTAAACACAAACTTAAGGCAAACCAATATTTTACTTCTAACCCTCAATTTGAAACTTTTCAAGCAAAACTAACAAATTAGTTAGAACTTGTATTAGTTTTTCTTTACAATGACATTTATGAATCTACTCTGATGATTTATAATACAAAAATACTTTCATATATCTTTTTATTTACCTTTCCTACGTTATGGTCAAACTCAAATTAAATATACTTAAAAAAAGTTTTTTTTTCTATTTAAACTATATAGAAATTTTAATGAAAAAGAATGAAACTTTTTATATATTTTTTAAATATAAAAGAAATGTAATAATAATATTGTAGTGTACAATTTAATAACAAATATTGGTTCTTAAAATTTACAATTTAGTATCATATTGGTTATTAAAAATATAAATATTAAATTAATCTTTAAGCCTTACATTTGTATTATATAATGGTTCAATAAAATCAAAATATATAACATATTTTTTACATATTTAGATACTAAATTAAAATTATTTTTAATAAACTAAATTGACGTGTATATGGATAGAGACATTTCTCGTTTGTCTGAAACTCTTAGAATACCTTTTATTTAAATTTTTATATAATTATTTGATAAATTCTATATTAGATTCTAATAAATCAGACAAAAAAATTATTTTAAGATTGTTATTGGGATGTACATAAATTTTGAAGTGTTTATAATTTTTTTTCATTTAAATATTCAACAAGCAAAATGACACTAAAAATTCGCCTTACAATATTTGAACAATAAAATACAAAACACAACACTATAGTTCATAGTTCATGATAAGGTTCATGTCATTTTTTTATTTTAGTCTATGGCTGAAAATTGAGTCCCACACTATTATTATGCCACTCACAACTAACACTTTTTCCATTGTCACTCACCAACCTTTGGAATTTATGCTTCCCAATCACACATTTTTTTTTTCCTTATTTTGTCTAAATGCCTTAAACTACCCTTCAAAGCAACCATCCACTCCCAACAATTATGCAATCATTGTATACAATTTTCCCTTTTTACAACAAAAATATCACCACAACATAATCTGTGAACAGGGGAACTCATATTTCTAATTGATCATGGAGGACCCTAAACCATTGTCATCATCTTCAAAATCAAAAACTGCTGTTTTGGATTCACCCCTTCATTTAATGGGTTTTGAAATCGAAGAATTATCACCCCAAAAACTCTCTGGCCGTCTCCTTGTCACTCAGAAGTGCTGCCAGGTCAATCCAATTTCATTTTTCTCATCTAAATAACAACATTTGTTTGTTTGTTTGTCTGGTTAAGTTTCAGAATGTTATAAAAAGTTTCATTTTTCATGTTTTTTTTTTCTTTCTTTACTTTTAACTATGTTTATGACTATAACTCAATCATGGGTAATTTGATTGTCCATGGAGCAGCCATTTAAGGTGCTTCATGGAGGGGTTTCAGCATTGATAGCAGAGTCTTTGGCAAGCATGGGAGCACACATGGCTTCTGGGTATAAAAGAGTGGCTGGAATTCAACTCAGCATAAATCATTTGAAACGAGCAGACATGGGTGACTTGGTCCATGCAGAAGCAACTCCTTTAAATGTTGGCAAAACAATTCAGGTGCTTCCCATAAAACATTTTCCCTTCATCTTATGTTTTATTGCAATCTTCTATGATTCTAACATAACCTTAATAAGCATTATATGAATACATAGTACTGTACATAGATAAGAAGGAGAAGCGTGTTTGAGTTGGTCATTGATGTAACAGAATTGCGATCATGATAACCATCTGTGTTATGGATCAATCAACTTAAGCGGTCTCTTCCTTCTATGTGAAGACAGAAGCTATGAATGAAAAATGACAGAATTTGAATTGTGTTAGAGATGACAAATGTGTGGTTGGAATGATTCTCATAAATCCATTTATAAGTCTATTTTAATGGATAAGATAGGTGGACATTTCATTGCCTTCTTCTTCCTGTTTCACTCATTTTTATCACACAAATGTTATAATTTTAATTAATAATTATAATAATATTTTAAATATATATATATATATATATATATATATATATATACTTATAAATTATAAAATAAAATAAAAATAAGAAAAGGTGTATCATAAAAGAAAATATGTAGCGTGTGTTGTACTCCCTTATTCCATCTTATATCATGTTCAAGGTTTTAAAATATGTATTAAAGAATACAACCAATATCTTAAGTTTCATAGAAAATATTATATAACCTTCTGATATATCATTTATCTCTTTAATTCATTAGTTATTAACTTTACTTATACAACACTTTCACTAAAAATAGTCTTAAAAATATTTTATGTATTATTATTGATTTTGTGAAACAAGAATTAATTTGGAACAAATTTTGCTATCTAAAACATCATGTAATGTAAGGTTTTACGGAAATAGTACAATACAGTGAAATTAGATAGAAAGAATGAAACATTAAATATAATAACAGTTGCATTAAAAGAGAATCTCAAAATAGCATAATTATGTAAACTTCATTATAGAATTGTTTAACCCAATTTTACTTTAATGAGTCTTATTTTACTTTAATGAAATGAGGGGAGAATGTGTTTGTACAAGTGTTTCCATGGCCTTACAGACATTACTAGCTTCATTCTGCTTGACAAGGGCATTCACCAATCTACTATCCACCTCAGTAATGAGTAAATATTTGTTGGCTACATGGCCATCGATAATAAAAGATGTTAAAACCCTGTTCATTAAATATGAACTGTTATTGCCAAGGCTTACAATTATGAGAAATGTATTTCATAGTAGTTTTCTCTGGAGCAGGTGTGGGAGGTGAGACTCTGGAAGATTGATCCTTCAAACAAAATAAACAGATCCTTGGTTTCATCTTCTAGGGTAACTCTACTGACCAATATGTCTGTCCCAGATCATGCAAAAGATGCTGCTGAACCGCTAAAGAAGTTCGCAAAACTGTAAAAAATTCAGATTATTTGTACTTAGTTGAAATTCAGATTCTGCTTGAATGAAATTATATATTAAACAAAGGATTCAATTGTTTGCGGATGTAATGCTTCAAGATGCACATCATGGGACACTCTGTACATGTAATTAAACTTCAATTAGTGCACAATATCATAAATATGAAAAATGGTTCACATAACCCATCACAGACAAACTCAATACTCCAGTCATATTGAATCAATTTTTACTAATCTTCACGATCAACAGAGAAACCAGTACAGCACAGAACCTCTTTCTCATTATTTTGCAACATAGAAGTCCAACAGTTCCTTGTGATCGTATTTCAATTTTCAACAAAAACCATATGGATTAAAATGCTGTACATCTATCCTGTGATTCCCATTCAACCAAACCAAGCAAGCTCAATTCCAGAAATATATAAGCTTTACTCAACATTGGCAGTGTTAGGATTCTTGCGAAAGGATTTTGATCTGACAGTGCTCTTGTCCTTTGTACCCATAGGAACACCACCAATTTTATGCCTACCACCAAACATTGACTTAACATCATCAGAAGTGGACTAACGACAACAGCAAAAGCCAGCAGCCACCAAATATAAGAACGAAAATTAAGCTAGAAAAATGTTAATTGCCTGAGACTGCTAAGTTGTTGGGTCAATTCATTCAGCTCCATACTAGAAAGTTTAAGAGAAGATAATGTTCCAGGCACTTCTTCCGAAACAACCTTTGACAATTTCTTCACTGAAGCCCCTAATCTTCCAAAAGCCTGTGCAAGAAACAAACAGCAACTCTTTGAACAGTATCCATTCAACATATCACTACATACATACGAGTTTCCATTAACACGTCATGACCACAGTGGCATTGCAAATGTATCACCCTCACCAGTATTAACGGCAATTTTTCATAGTATAATTGTTTTTGTAAAATTAAAATCGCACCATCAATTTAAAAAACCAGCAACTGTCTGAACATTCTCCATTCAACGCATCACTACATACATCCAGAATTAAAAGGAATAATTTAACAAGTTCAATTAGTTAAAAAAAAAAAAAAAAAAAACTCAAATATAGCTTGCGTAGGTTCTAAAATACATCTGCAACCGCAATGTCAAACATTGTGGGTCTCTGCTACAACATTTCACGTCTGCAACTGTAATTGTGGTCACAAAGTCAAGAATTTTAGGTTTCTACTAGCATATTCCAACCACAATTGTGTTCACTTCAGCTGCATTTATCCACAAAAACGCAATTTTAAAACCTCAAAAAATCACCACAAACGCAATTTAATACTTTAACCTATATATTCACGTGTGCATGAGATAAATCTTAACCTACAATTAGGGTCGGAATGGAAACCACAGCTACTGAGAAAAACGCACCGAAAGCCTGCAAGTCCATAAAACACAGGTTCAGTTTACTTGATATTGAAACCAAAAACGCATAAAAATGCAATATTCATTCTCATTTGGTGAGCAAATGGGAAAATTATATATGACAGTACCATGGAGAGGACGAACAAGTGTGAGAGAAGCCCCAATTCAGGGGTGGGTCGGAACCATATATTTTGTGCCACTTCAATGGGCGGAGCTGCCACGAATACAGACTGCGAGGTTGGCGGAATATCGGTTGTTTGCTGTTCTGACACTACCAGCGCCGGAATTGTGTCGCCGGCTACCGGCGACGAGGTGATTGAGGTACTGACACGTACGGAAAACGGAGCACATGAAGTGGAGGCCAGTGAAACTCTGTTGAAGCTAAATGGACGCGAAGACAGTAAAACCGCTTTAGACAACATTGACAATTCGATTCAAAGTTCCGATTTTGCAATGAATTGGATGAACCCTAAGATGTAACCCACACTTACACACTCTTTTTTTTTTTTAATATAATTAATTACACACTCTTTTCCTAATACTTACATAACCTTGAAGTTACATAAGAGTTGCTTAAACAAATATATGAAAATGAAGGATAAAAGTTCCTTAATTTTTATTATGTATAATTAATAAGATAAATCATTTAAAAAAATTACTCATTTTAATATCAATTTATCTTGAATAAAAAAATACAATCATATACACATTGAAAGATCTATATATCGATGATAATACAAAGGGTATATCCATTTGTGATTTATTAAGTCAGTCTTTATTATATAGGAATCAATAAAAAGTTATGTATTGTATTTTTTTTATTTATAATTTTATTTTTATTTTTTAATGATAACTCTAGTTAATATATTTGTGAAACTACTTGTAAATGATTTAAAATTAAAAGTTATAAAATAAATTAGGTTCTACGTAATAAGTTCATAATATATTTTTAATCATTATATGTTATAATTAGGTGATGATTTTTGTACTCAACTAATTGATTTTATATTAAACTAGATTTAATTAGATTAATTTTTTTAAATAACATTAATATTAGTAATAATAATATTAATTTAAATACATGTTTATTTAAATGAAGAAGTGATGAAATTGGTGACACAGCTTCATAATGACATTTAACTTGAGATAAAAAAAAATTGAAAACTGCACTTAATTACATGCATCTCCATATAAAATAATGGAAGATGAATCAGCAATTCAGCATTATTACAATTTTCAAATGAAAGTCTCTTATCTGCATGATTAAACTTTTTTGTAAGTTCTGAATATTTTATCTTTTCACTTTCACTCGTGGAAAAACAAACCCTAATTCTCTAAAATATGATTATTTAATTATTATGCTTTTCGAAGACTGAATTATTAGCTTCGCACATCACTATAATTTTTCATTAATTTATAATTAAAATTGATATAGACACTATTCAAGAAAGGTATTGCTAATCTATTTTATATGTGTGTGTGTGGGGTAGAACATGCATTATTAATAAAATAAAAGATTATTTATTGGTGTGTCACAAACTTCCAAATTTTTTAAATCGGTATTTTAATCTATAAAAATTAGTAATGGATTATAAAAAAAGTATTATTAAAAAATAAATTACACTCAAATATTTTGTTTAAAAAGATTAAAAAAAATCCAGTATGCTACAATATTAGGTATTACATTGTACATAAGAAAAAAATAATATAAAGTATAATTTTTAAAAGTATCATTAATCATCTTCATAATAAAATTGTAAAATAAAAGTAAAATAATTTATAAAAATAGATAAATTAATCATCTTCCCTATCTCATGTCTTTTCCATTCGGTTCTTTTCATTTCTTGACATCATAAATCTTAAAAAGTTGTCTCATAAAAATAACTTGTTTACATAATCAAATAAACATTTTTAGGGGTTTATTAATTAAATACACAGAGTGAATCCTCTTAATTGTATATGTCACTAATATTTTTACATTTGACAATGTCTGCATGAGTATTTAATGATACCATGAAAGAATGCAATTGAAATTATAAATATTGTATGAATATTGATTAAATTTTTTTGTTATTGCACCTAAAAAAATTGATATTTCATGTTGTATATTTTACCTTAAAAATATAATTACTTAAAAGATTTTTGTATGTTTCTTATGCCATTATATAATAATTTAAAAAAGATAATAAAATATAAATAAATAATTCTTAGAAATAAAATACAATATTTATAAATATTTCAAGGAAATTTTTTGAAAAATATATAAAAAATAAATGCAAAAAATTCATATTTTGTTTTAATAAAACAATAACAACGTTAACCTAATAATCTCATACCTTAAAATAGTTTACAAGGAACTATTATGTCTCATAGTCATCATGCACTTGGATTATTCTAACCTTAATTAAACCTATAATAACGTAGTGATGTCATCATGCAATTGGATTCTTCATCTTGCACTCCTGTATATAACCCAACAAAGGTCACTGATTTATGCAAGTTCATACAAGTTGCTCTTCTGAACAAACTCATGGAAGAAGTTAATGGTAAGTGCCTTTTTCCTTCAATGAAATTGTATAATATCATTATATTCGTTTTAAATTAAAAGATATAATTAAGTTCTTCAAAAAATAATCCATTCACTATTTAAACGAACAAGAAAATATTTTAATAATAACATATAACAATATTTTTAAAATTTAGGGCTTCGTATGTTAGATTTTTCTTTTTAGTGTCGTTTATATTTTTTGCTTTTTTATCATGCTAGTGGTTCAAACCAAAGATGGAACTGTTACAGTAGCTTCTGTGTTTCCTGGTCATCAAGAAGGTAAAGTTTCTAAACTGTTTACTTCTTAACTTTCGTGTTGAATGTTTCATTCTTTGTTTAACTGAGGTACATGAACTTTTTTAGAAGAAGAAAACAAATCTTTAATAAGTTAAACAAATCTTGAATGAATCGTAATAATTTATTCTAGTAAATAGTTGAATTTTTGCTATTTTGTGTTCATTCTGACCAATTCATTAAAAAGATCCATGATTTGATTCATAAAAAATGGTTAATTGTTTTGTTTTTCCTATTCAAACAAACTCTGGTTTAATAACATAACAGATATTCATTTTTCACAGATTTGTCAGTTTTATTTTTCCTTATGTTTATGAATGAACAACACTTCAACTTTTATAGAAGCTTTCAGTCTTTCTCATCTAAACTTTTATAGAAGATTTCGTGTTGCATTGGCTTCTTAGCTATACAGCAGAGAGACCACAAATTCTTAAGAATTGCTGTTGAAGAAGCTTATAAAGGGATAGAGTGTGAAGATGGTGGTCCTTTTGGTGTTGTCGTAGTTCGTAACGATGAAATAGTTGCTTGCTGTCACAACATGGTGCTAAGGAACACAGACCCTACTGCTCATGCAGAAGTCACTGCAATAAGAAAGGTTAAATGATTTTTAATTTCAGTTTTAGAAATTTCTATCGATTATACATTATTCTGTATTTTCTTTTTCAACTTGTAGCAAACATAAAGTATGTTATATCATAAACGCAATGATTTGAATTTGCAGGCTTGTGAAAATCTAAACAAGATAGAACTTTCAGAGTGTGAGATGTATGCTTCTTGCGAACCTTGCCCAATGTGCTTTGGAGCAATCCACCTCTCACGAGTTAAGGTTGGAAAACTAGTTTAGAAAACTTACTTTTTGGATCACTTTATTTCTTACCATACTCAATCTGTTTATGTAGAGGTTGGTTTATGGAGCAAAAGCAGAGGCAGCAATTGCTGTTGGGTTTGATGACTTCATTTCAGATGCATTGAGAGGCACTGGATTCTATCAGAAAGCGCAATTGGAGATTAAAAGGGTTGAAGGCAAAGAGGGTAACATTGCTGAAGAAGTTTTTGAGAAAACAAAGGAAAAGTTTCGAATGTTTTGAATATGTTTCTTAAGACATTAGGGTTTCCTATTATGAAGTTTTACTTTAAATGAATAACTTACTTATTCTCATGGATTCTGCTGCATTTAGTAATAAACTTTGTTGTTCTTATATTTTAGTTAATATTATAGTCTTTGTGTCACACATGATATGCACTGTTATTAAATCTCGTGGGCCGTAGAAAGGGCCTCGGCCGCAGTATATGGGCTGAATGAACGTATAGACTAGAAAAAATCTTATATGGGCTAACATTTCCAATTTATTCTAGGGTTCTTCTATTTGCACTCCTATTTTACTTCATTTACCCTTTTTTTCCCCTCTTCTCAAAACACTCTTATCTCCTTGCATAATACTTATTTTCTTTTTTGCTTTTCAAAACAGAAAGACTAATTCAAAGTAAGCCTATTTATTTTTCAATTAAATTAGAATAGTTTCCACTCTCTCAACATTATTCCTTTTTTTTTCTGATGAAACTTTGATTGAAAATGTCTTTTAATAAAATATTTTATGAAACATATTTATGCATAAATTATAAAAAATATAATTTAGAAAAAATTAACATTAAAGAATTTCTATTCATTAACTTATAGATAAATTATTCTTTATTAGTAAAAAAATTGTCATTTTCACTTTTTATTCATTTTGTTCTCTAAACACTTATTGAGAAATTCATTCCATAACAGTTTCGTGTAGGTCAAAAATCACGTCTGAAATTGTTTGTCAGACATGTAAACATTGGTATTTTTTAAAAAAGTGTCCTAATTTCATTTCTGTAAAATTAAAATATAACACTTTTATCTTCAATAAGGTATTTGTAAGCTATCTAAATACATTTTTATTTAAAAAATAGGTATTTTAAAATTTAAGTAAATAAAAAACACATTTTTTTTGTGAAAGCTAAAAGTCTTAAAAAGTTTTAGAAAGAGAAATTAATCTTTTATATTACGAAGATATTTGAAAACAAAATTATAAAAGTTTTTTAAGAGTTTATCGAAAAAAAAGTTATATTTAAAAAAAAATCCATAAAAATGTCAAAAACTCTTATTATTTGTACCCAACACGTGTAGAGATTTTGATAAACTTGTGATTGAGGAAGACATAATGAGTTATATATAGATAAACACGTGGGATATAATTAGGGTAGAAGAAGAACACCATTGATTGACATAGAGATAACAATAGCCTTAATAGGTGACACATCACCCCGACATTATAATACTTTAAGATATGTTGATGTTCTGTCTTTCATGTACGTGCATAGCAAATTGATTTGACAATTATTGTGAAAGTTTTGTTTACTCTTGAACAAATTCAATTATTACGAGTTATGCATATTTCAAATGTTAAATGAGGATTTGGATAAGAAGATGAACAATAGTGATATGTAAAGGGGGTAGATTAAGACTTGCTAATGTTGTATTTGGTAGAATGGAAAGGATGAAACAAAAAAACAAAGATGAAAGATTTATTTTTTAAGGAATTTGATGAAAATGAATTAAGAAAATTTATAATAAAGTTGAATTATTAGAAGTGTATATATTTTCCAAAATGGTAGAAGAGCTTTTTCCGTGACGTGTTGCTCTCCCACATGGCTTAAATAAAATGGGGCCACTCTACCACCTAATTAGTCTACATGAAGTGATAGACACCACAATGCAATCATGTATTTACTTCACTAAACGACAAAACTTATATAATAATATATTTAAGTTATATGTAAAAAATAAAATAGAAGTTGAGGTAATAATTTAATTTAATAATAAAAAATATCTATTGGCAACCACAATTTAAAAAATATATATAAAAAAAATTCATATTTTGTTGAGATCATTATTGACTTTATCTCCATGTAATGGATTTTTTTTTTTAAAGACATCGATAACTCATTTGAAGGTATAGATAAATTGATAACTCATCTATTTTTATAAATTGTGACGAAGAATTAATTTTTTGTTTTGATTAATTGTAAATAACACATAATTTTATCTTCGTTCTTTTTTCTTTGTCCTCTCTTATCCATTAAATTAGAATGGGACAAATTAATATGTTATAATTAGGATGATTTATATATTTTAATCCGTTCATTCTATTTTTATATTTTTTATATATATATACAGATAATTATAGTATTATTTTTTAAATATTTTTTTATTTATTAACTGTTTATTAGATAAATTTTAAAAAATTAATATTAAAACATATAATTATAATTAATCATCAAATGGATAAGGACACATCCTAAAAGGATAAGATACAACCACCACAATATACTGTGCACAAGGGTTGGTAGTCAATTATACCACTTTCTTATAACACTTTTTTTATTATTATTATGAATATTTTTGTTTTTACTTCTTGTATTATCTTTATTTTAAAATGATCAAAATCCTCAATATCATAAGTTCAAAATATTTTTCAATTCTTTCCTATCAAATTAACTTTCCAATTATTCAAATAATACAACTTTATATATTATGATGACGTATAGTAACAAATAATACATAATAAAATTTAAGAACAAATTTATATTTATTCCCTTATGTGATTTTGATGATGTTCTTCAATTAATTGAACTTTTATTTTAATACTTTGCATAATAAATATTTGGGCTGATTAAAAAGAACATAGATTATCAAGACGTTCTAATTTTGATTGAAAAATGACACAAAAATGCAGATGAAATCATATTTAAATAAAATTTATCATCAAATAATTAACACCAACAATAATAAATATAATTAAAATCTACAAATGTCTTACACTTGTCAAGTTCTTATCTATTTCTTTTTTTTACTGATATTATATTTCATGTTTAAACATTTTATTTCACGACATTCACATCCTTGTAAAATATTTTTTTTTCACAATACATAATTAGTCGATTCATATGATTAATTATAGATTTTTGTTGATAATAAAATATTAAATAAGGTTTATATATGATTCTATATATCCTTTAACATTATTTCATTTTCATTCCCTTCTTTGTATTTTCACTTTTTTTTTTTTTTGCTTAATGTTATCTTAACATCATTAATTGATGTTATTATCTTTATATGAGATAACTATATTAACAATGTGGTTAAGACTGCATTATTTTGCTAGAAAAAATCGTTTACCACGTTAGAAACAATAGATAGAGTTCAAAAACTAAATAAAAATGAAATCTTAAAATAAATAAATTTCAGCCATGAAAATATATATTTGTCCGTTACTTTAATTTTTGTATATATATATAAAACTAGACAAAGAAAAATTGTCCAAATTCATGTATTAATCTTTGTAACCAAAAATCTCTAATCAAATACAATATCAACCAATTACTTATCAAGAGACCTAACAAATTATCTAATTCAAAAACGTTATCACAACTTAAGATTATAATTAATGGATAAACTTATCATTAACAAAAAAATAAAATAAAAACACATGATTGGTGACTGTATAAGAAGACCCACATATGTGGATTTGTGACCTAAATTATCTTTAAGTTGAAAACTTTATCTCAATCATTGAACACTCTGATATGACTACAAAAATTCGTAATCTTCCGCCGCGTCCATCCAGATTAGGTTTCCAAAACAATTCAAACCACGTTATTCATCATAACAATGTTTTGTCATCAACAAAAATTCTGCCCATTAATGGTACCCACAAAAATTATATTGTCCTCCTTTATTATTTGAGACTAAAATATTATTTTTATCATAAGATAGTTTACCCATCTTTTCTAAATTATAAAAATTACAATGAAGTTTAGATAAAATAACCAAATTTAGGAACTAATTTTTAAAGTTTTCTATCACACTTTACACTTTCAAGGTATCTAGTGTTTCTATTTAACTCTTTTTTTTTAAATCAAATGAAAACCTGAAAATATATGTAAAACTAAATATTTGTGATGATAGGATAATAAGTCAAGAATTAAAGTGTATATATAACACTTAATATTTGTAGATAATATAATAGATAATATAATAGAAACTCGATAAGAAATGAATATTAAAATATCTAATACATTATAATTTTGGGATTATAATTTTGGGTTGAGATTGATGTCATTTTCTCTTATATGATTGATTTAAGTGTTATTTGTAAAATGTCTTATTTATGAGAATGCTTTTACTGTTAATCCTCGAAAAAAATATCCAACAAATATGATATGAAATTAGAAAGTAAGTTTGAATGTAAGTGTAAAATTTGGTTGGTAATGGTGGAAATTATGAGAAGGAAGAAAGAGGGGGAGTTAAAAATATTTGTTGGAGAGGTTGAAGATGGGGTAAGCACGTTAATGAGAAAAAGCAGAGGAAGTATAAGATAGTGGAAGGAGTGGAAGTAGGTAGCATGTGGGTGAAGGGCATGGAGATAAGGATAAGAGAAGCTGATTAGGATCCAATGGAAGTTAAGGAAAAGATGAAGTAGCATGAGATAAAATAGGTGATGATGCAGTGACATGCAACTTGAGATAAAGATTGGACTTTCTCCATTAAAAGTTGGCGAAATTATGGTGTTAATTAATTAAGAAAGTGTTGGTTAATTTAACATTTTCATAAAATAATGGAAGACTGAATCAGCAACTCACCATTATTACCGTTCTTATTTCAAAATCTTTATCATGAATTTTATTTTTATTTTGTCTAACATTTATAAAGTAGGTTTTAATATTTATGTTAAAGAATGAAAGTGTCCGAATTTAAATCTCATATTTATTAAAAATAAGAAATTGAGTAAAATTATAACTTAATAAGTTAGATTTTTTAGGTTAAAAATGATATTAATTATATATATTATTTTATTATTGTGAAAATTGAATTGAAGTGCTGATAGAATTGGTTAAATTAAAAATGACTTATTTGTTATTTCTAAATAATTAGATTTTAATTAAATTGAGATAAAATTGAAAAAACGAGATAAAACTGATAAAATTAATTGAATATTTTAGATTTTGATAAAAAAAATTATAATTAATTTTTTATCAAAAATATAATATGTTAACTTTAAATAATAATTATTTTATTTTATTATATTTTTATTTTATTTTAATAATTATTCATTTTTAATCTATTTTATATTTATAATTTTAATTGTAATTTATGTTAACCATTATCTAGTTTTTATTATTTTTCTTTCTTTTTAAAAAAATATTATTACTAATACATTTATTATATATTATATTATAAAAATAGTATTTTATTAAATTTGGTGGGATCGTTAAATCTTTAAATCCTAGATTTATATATGTGACTTTATTGACTGATCATATTTTAAAATATGAATTTTGTTAATGTTTTCTCTTCGATAAATCCTTTTTGAAATATTCAATCCCATTAAAATTGATTTAACTTACAACAAAATTCAAGTTCTAACATAAAAAAAAATGACAAATTGATTAGAAAATTGAAGGATTATTTTTAATTAAGATGTGTTCGAATATAGTCTTTGACCTGATTTTAAAGTATAGTCTCCATTGTTTTCAATAATAAAAAAGAAATAATGGAAGCTTCTTGCAGAGAGCAGAGAAATTTTGGTAATGATGAAAACGAATTCCATTAATAACGTATCAACAAGGGATTGGCACGCGTGAGTTATTTTATTAACTCACTATTAAAAAAAGTCACTATTTATTAATTAGTATATTTAACGTAGAAGATTAAGGGTTGTTGACGTATACATAATATAATTCTTAAAATGTCATTCTTTAAACTAAGAATGCTCCAATTATTGACTCTCAACTTGCACATATCTTATTTAAAACAATAGGGAAGCATTAACTTGATTAAGTATTTCTTTAATAAGTTTTGATTCAAAACATATTATTAATTTAATTACAAATTTTATTAATAAAGTCAATTTAGTGTCTCAAACTAGAAAAAACATAGTTTTAATTTTGAAACAAAAAAAAAATCCTGAATTAAAACCAAATTTTAAGTTATACACAAGTATATTTTAACTTACAAATATATTTATTTAAACTTTTCTTATTGTTGACACTGAAATATGGTTTGATATTATTAGACATAAATTCCATTAAGATGACATTGTTTCCACTTTATTTATGGAATCACATTCAATTAAGATGCCATTATTTTAATATTATTTTTTTCTCTCTTTAAAGATTGTATAAATCTTCAAATTAAATAAAGTAAGAAGTTAGTATTCTCCTTAAAAAAAGTCAGAATACATATATGATGGGGACAAAGCTTAGTGGATGTTTGCATCCAAAATAATTGATCCCTTCCGTTAAGTCAAATAAAGTTCGTAACATGCTTCTCTATTCTTTTCAAGGAGGATGTGACCAGGGAAAGTAAAAAGTAAAAAGTAAAAAGTGAAAAATATAAATATAAATGAATCAAAACAAAATATTTCTTTTCTTCAATAATAAGGCAAGTAATGTATATATCTTATTTTTATTTATATATGAGGGAAAGAAAATAGAAAATATAATAAAATTATTATCACTTAAATAAAATATATTCATTTTTATGTTTATAATTTCAATTTATAAATATATATCGAATCTCATAAATATAAAATTAATTATAAAATTAAATAAATAATTTAATATATATATATATATATATTCTAATATTATATTTTCTATTAATTTAAAATCTAATATTAAAAAAATTACTATAAACATGTTTTATAATATTTATTATTAAAAAATGCGATACTAATAAAAATGTGTTTATTTAAAAGTTATTTTATTCATATAAAACACTTAATTAATATATAGATTATTTTATAATTGAATAAATATTTAATTTTAATTTATTTTTTATTTTTAATCCTTAAAATAAATACTTTCATTATTTTTATCTCATTTTCCTTTCAAACGAATAAATATATTTTCAGTTTCATGCATCAGCTTCGAACATCATCAATACAAGGGACACTCACGTAAAAATCTATCAAAACGAGAGAATAAAAGATTTCTTTTTTTATTTTATTTTGTTTTTTAGTTTTTAAAAGAGTCTTAGATATTAATTTTTTTTAATATTTTGAAAATAAGTTAGAAAAGAAAAAATAAAATTATTTTCATGAAAGATAATGATATATATCACAACAAATTATGATAAAAGTTTGAAAATGATTTAATGAGTAATTTTATATGATTATTGATTAAAACATTGATTTCAACTAATGAAAATAGAAAATATGTTTTTATCAATTTTGATTTTTTAGTTTTTAAAAACTGAAAAATTACTACTTTAAGAAAAATGTAAAATTGAAAAGAAAATTCTATAAATTTATGTTGTAAGGAAAAATTAGAAAGAGAAAAGTATGTAATTGGAAGAGTGATAAAAAAAATAAAATAAAGATATCAGTGTTAGAAGTTGAAGTTCAAAACGTGGAAAGGTGAGAAAGAAAAAAAGGGGTTAAAATATATATATATATATATAAATAGAAAACTGTCTCAAAAGTAAAAAAGATATTTAGTATAATAAATATTAATATTTTTTATATATAAAAATAATTTTATTTAATTTTTAAATATAAAAGTTTGGGAACTCAACGAGGTTAAATTAAATCAGTAGTAAGTTATAAATATGATAGTGAATTAATTTTATAATTCTCTAATTTTGAACAAATTCTTAAAAGTGAAGATTTTAATATATTTATCGATTATAAGATTTTGATATGAGAGATATAGTTAAATAGTTATATAACTGACTTAAAAATTAAGTTTATAAAAAATTGTATATTAATATTATTATAAAGTAAAAAATAACTTGAACTCATTTTCATTTTATTCAATTTTTGTTCTTATATATCTATGTACCCACTTAAGTGTTAAAACATGATTTAGAAAAAGAGTGTTGAGTGTTATGTTTAATTGTAAATATATTATAATAAATGATTAGTTATATAGAGGTGAGAAAAATATGTATAAAAGATAAGATAGTTGATGATGGTAACCTAAAGTACTTATGGTATGTTATTTATAAATAGAATAAAATAATATATTATAGAATATGATATTGTTCACAACTTATCAAAAAATGGTAACCGCATAGGATAGGAACGATGGGGATCTACGTTGGGTGTGACTCATCACATCCCATAACTCGTTACTACGCTCTCCATCATTCATCTATCTTCACGTTCGGATCACTCACTTCACTTATGATGTCATTATCCATTTTGTTTCAACACTTTCATTTTTATTCTAATTCTAATTTTTATAAAAGACTCAATTTAATTTCTAAAGATTTTTATATTCTTATTTCTGTTCGTTAAGAATTTGTATTCCTCAAGAATTATTTAAAAAAATAATATAATTTATTTTTAATAAATTAAAAATAACTTATGCAAAAATTAAATATTTAAATACAATAAAATATCTAAGTGTGAAAGGATTTTTTTTTATGTCGCATGTGGCAATTTCTTTAATTTGGCATCTAATTCTTTTCAACATTAAACGTCTGCATGATACCGTCATCTAACCAATTATGATTACTCAAATGTGTCATATAATATACCAGAAAAAAATGTAGTTAATCTACATACGTTCTAAACATTATTTTAAACAGAAATTTTGTAACGTGATCTCGATTAATCTTTTATGTCGTAATTTTTATCATAGTACTGACAAATTGAAAAACTTGACCATGTAATAAATCGAAATATATATTCATATTTGTGACCTCATTATTTGAGACTATTTAATAACTTATATAGTATAAAATAAGATGAGTAACTTAAGTAACTAAGTGAGATAGAAAATATATTATATAAATTATGTATAATAATTTTATATCACTGACATACGTAGAGGGAACCACATTCTGCATTCACCGTGGAAAGCATTTTCTCTTTCATGCTCATCATCCACTTGGATTATTCATCTTCTACTTCTTCTTCACCACCGATCTACTACTATATATAGCCCAACAAACTCTTTCATTCATCGGAGTTCACACCAATACTTTCAGTTAACTAACGTAGTACCCATTTATCTTTACTTGTTTCTTACCATCAACAGAGTCATGGAGGGAGTTCAAGGTATGTGCTTTTTTCTTGGGTTTCAGAAATTTATCATTATCAACTCTCTCTCTATATATATTCGTGGCTTTGGGCATGTGTTCTTGTTTCTCATCTACTAATTATAAGTTTAATCCCCACACATTCTCATGCTTTGCTCCTTCAATTTATGTTAATATTGGCAAAGAGTTGTTCAAGGCTGTGTTTGGCTTATGGAAGACTTTGCTCTAGTAACCAAAAGTGTGTAAGTTAAGCCACCCCATACATGAACACATGGACTTCAAGTTCATTGGTTAACCCTTCATGTTCCTAATGCCTTGTTTGGATTAGGAGACTCTTGGATTAATGAAAATATTGAGACAAAATAGATGAAAAAAAGGAATAAAGAAAAAAATTAAAAATGTTTTATTTGGACATATAGAAATAATAATAATAATAATAATAATAATAGAAAAAATCTCCTTCATTTTTACTCCATAACATGAAATTGTTTACTATTTTTAATTTATTGTTATAAAAATTATTTCATTTTAATAAATTAAATGATCTTACTTTTGAGGAAGACTTTCTTTCATGGTGGAGCCCATTATGTTTTTCAATTTCTTTGTTCCATTTTTATTTTAACCCATCATGTAAATTAGACACAATTTCTTTTTGTATTTGTTTTTTCCTTTTAGTATTCTTTATAATTTTTTTGCTTTGTTGATCATCCCAGTGGTGCATACCAAGTGTAGAACTGTATCAGTGGCTTCTGCATATTCTGCCCATCAGGAAGGTAATACTTCTAAACTATCTAACTTTCTTGCATTCTTTCTTTGATTAAAATTCTGTCTTAATAAATTTCTTTCGAAACCCTTATAAAAAGAAAATATATAAAATAAATAAATTTCTGTTATGAATAAAAACTAATTTGCACACTTCAGTGCTTATACACACTCTGCTGTAACGCTTTCAATAGCTGGTACCAGTGATATATATAAAAGAAGTTTATCCACACAAAGTTAAGATAAATGATACATTGAGGTTCCCTCTTGAGTCTTCTCTCTCAATTTATGATTTGTGTTGCATGTTAATTAGTTATTGTTGTTGCATTGGTTGATTAGCTATACAACATAGAGACCACAAATTCTTAAGACTTGCTGTTGAAGAAGCATATAAAGGGGTAGAATGTGAAGATGGTGGCCCCTTTGGTGCTATTATTGTTTGTAATGATGAAGTAGTGGCTAGTTGTCACAACATGGTGCTGAGGAACACAGATCCAACTGCTCATGCTGAAGTAACTGCAATAAGAAAGGTTAGATTAGACTAGTTAGATTAACAGCCAAATAATTTCCCATCTTTTTTGTGAAAGTTGCAGATAATTTTTTCTGACATTAAAATGCATTACATTTACACAAGAGGGCTTTGATTTCTTTGGCAATTGATTGTTTATGTGCAAATTGCAATTATTAAGCAGGTTCTTCAAATAATTCTCTGCATTTTGAGGGACCACTATAAGACTATTATATTCTGCTGCAGTATTTGACTGCACAAATATATTATGCATATGGTATCGATTGAAAATTTACCTATCAGTGAAGAGTTCACTACCAGAATTTATTAACTTCTTGCATTAGTTTTATGAGCTAAACCAGATTTATGCATTACTGGGATTTATATTTTGGACTCAATGATTTCATTTTGCAGGCTTGTGAAAAGCTAAACCAGATAGAACTTTCAGACTGTGAAATATATGCTTCTTGTGAACCTTGTCCAATGTGCTTTGGAGCAATCCACCTTTCACGAGTTAAGGTTGGAAATGCCCTGTTTTTTCTAAGCTTTTCATTTGTACATTTGCTATCATTAATTTGACAAGAGTTTAATCAAAGTACAGTTTCTTAGAATGCTGAATTGATTTATATGCAGAGGTTGGTTTATGGAGCAAAGGCAGAGGCAGCAATTGCAATTGGATTTGATGACTTCATTTCAGATGCATTGAGAGGCACTGGATTCTATCAGAAAGCACAGCTGGAAATCAAAAGGGCTGATGGGAAAGTGGCTAACATTGCTGAAGAAGTTTTTGAGAAAACAAAGGAAAAATTCAGAATGTATTGAGTGTCTATGTTTCCCAACTCTTTAGGCCTCCATATCTCATGAAATTTGACTTCACATAAATAAGCTTGGAACTTTTGCTCTCTGAATCCTAATAAATATCAGCTACTAATTGTATGAGGTGAATCAAAATAAAAGTCACTTTGTACTATCATGCCATTCCCATGTTAAATCCTTGCAATTATTGTAAATAAAATAATTACAAGTCCCTCACTTATTCTCTTTTGTATGCTAACATTGAGCTTTGTACTTTATACTTCATAAACTTATTTAGGATTTTAATTCAGTATCAAAAGGCATTATTCCATTGTATTTATAAATAAAGGAGATACAACAGAGAGGATATGAATATCAATCCAAACTCTTAACCCTAATATAAGGAACATATACAGATAATATAAAAAGATAGAAAAATATGTCTCAATACTCCCCCTCAAGTTAGAGCATATAAATTGTCTGCACCAAACTTGGAACAAATGAACTGAATCCTAGGTCCTCTCAAGGATTTAGTTAAAATGTCTGTCAGTTGTTCATTGGAGCTTACAAATTCAATTACAAGTTCTTTAGATAATAATTTTTCCCTAACAAAGTCACAATCAATCTCGATATGTTTTGTTCTTTCATGAAACACTAGGTTGAAGACAATATGAAGAGCTGTTTGGTTATCACAAAACAACTTCATATTTGCCCATTATCGCAAAATTTTAATTCTTGAAGGAATTGTTTGATTCACATAAGTTCAATATAGTAAGTGTCATTGATCTATACTCATTTTCTACACTATATCGAACAACAACATTTTATTTTTTACTCATTCAAGAAATCAAATTCCCTCCAATAATGATACAGTATCAGTAGTAATTCTTCTATAAATGGGACAATCAGCCCAATCTGTATCACGATAACTTAGAATTTGAGTATTACCTTTATTTTCATATAATAATCCTGGTCTTAGAACCCCTTCAAAGTATCTCAGAATGCGAATCAAGACATCCTAGTGATAAGTATAAGAATTTTGTATAAATTGGCTAACTACTCCAACTGCATAAGAAAGATTCGATCGGATAATAGTAAGATAAATGAGTTTACCAATCAATCTCTTGTATCTTTCTGGATCTAAAAACTTTTCTCCTTTATCTTCCATCAATTTCTGAGTGGGGTCCATTGGAGTATCGATGGGTTTACAATTTGTTAAACCTATCTCCTTCAAAATATCAAGAGCATACTTCCTTTGAGAAATTATTACACCCTCCTTTAATTTAGATTTGTCTTTCATTAAATAAACTCAAGTACATCTGGAAAATTCATCAATAAAGGTTATAAAATATTAGAAGTCAAATGAAGAGACACAACTCAGTCCTCAAACATTATAATAAAAATTTGAAAAAGGAAAATTACATCAAGTTTCAGAATGCTTAGGAAAGGTATACCTAATATGTTTTCTTAGTTGACAAAATTCACATTCTGACCTCGAAGATGTTTGAGATTATGAGTCATCACTTTCAACTTTGGAAAACTTGGGTGACCCAGACGATCATGCAAAAGTTTAGGAGTAGGAGAAGAAAGACATGATATAGAAAGACTTGGATTCAAATAGTAATAAGGATGACAAAACGGGTCAGCCCGCTCCGTTTTGGCTCGTCCCGCCTTTGGCCCGCCAAAAACGAGGTGGGACGGGCTAGCCTGCTATAGTCATGGCGGTAGGGATGACAATTAAACCCGTCCCTGTAGGGACCGATTCGTCCCTGTCCCGAGTTTGATGGGGAAAACCCGAGTTGACCGGGGGCGGGGGCGGGTTCGGGTTTTTCCCGTTTTAAAAAGTCGGGGGCGGGGCGCAGGGATGGGTAATGCAATCCCCACCCCGACCCCGTCCCGTCCCGTCCCCACCCCGACTTTATATTTAAATTTAAATTTTAAAATTTTAATATTTTAAAAGTATTTCCTTTTCTTTTTCTATTATATATAAGGTCATATTTTTATATTCCACCAAATTTTTTTCTTCTACCCACTTTTTAATTTTTGTGTCTTTTTTAATCTTTTATATCAATTAATTTATTACATTATTCTTTCTCTTACCTTTCAGTTTTTCACATTTCCTTAATCTCTCCCATGATTTTTTTTTCAATCTTTTCAACCAATTTGATGAACACAAAGTTAATTTTTTTTATTCTTTATCTTTTTCTAAATATTTTACATAAATATTAGTAGTAACTAATATTATTTTATTTATAATTTATATTTATTAGGTTTTATTATGTCATATTTTTTTATCTTATTATTCTTATTTATCATATATCAAATTTTATCTTAATAAAATAATTGTATTTTAAAGGATTAAAAGAATTGATAATTTAAATTTTTATTACTTCGAACTAATTGAATAAGAATTAACTTATTAAATATTTCCTTATAAACTATATATTTCATATTTTTAGATGACAACTTAAAAATGAATTAACTTATATATATAATCAAATGTTTGAATACAGTATTATAATAATAATGTTATAAATATTCAAATATTTGAATACAATGTTATAATAATAATATTATAAATAAAAATGATTAAATATTTCTTTTACATACATATTTTAATATAAATATAATAAATTAAAATGTATATTTAATTAATAATAATTATAAATTATAAATATTTATTTATATATAAAAAATAGATAGTAAAATTAATTTATTATAATTGTAATTATCTTTTTAAAAATAATATAAATCAGGGATGGAGCGGGGCGGGAATCCGAAACCCAACGAGGACGGGGACTTAATTTCTAACCCGCGGGAATCGAGGCGGGACGAGGGATGGTTAAAAAGTCGGGGTGGGGATCGGGGAGGCAAAACCTGCCCCCGCCCCATTGCCATGCCTACATGGCGAGCTACAGGTCTCGGTCCATCCCGCCAAAGGACGGGTTGACTCGTCATATTTATTATTTTATTTTATTTTATTATTTTTAAATCAAATCTTTCTATAAATTTAATAATAATTTATCATTGTCAAACAATTCAATATATATATATATATATATATATTTATATATATTAAGTTAATAATATAAATTGATATATTATTTTAATAAATTATATTTTAGAACAAATAAATTAAGATAAAATTTATATAATAATAAATACGTGTATGTAACAATAAAAATTTATTAAATCTTTATTTTTTATATTGAAAAGTTTAAACATTTAAATGAAAATTACATTATATTTATTTATTTGATAAAACTTCACATTATTCTCTCATTGAGTAATTCTCACATTTTCAATTCAAAACAATCAATATCCAGGATCATTAAATGCGATATTTGAATATCTCTCCAATTTTTCATCTTTGTCATTTTCTTCCTCATCTTGAACAACAGACATAATAAATGAGTCGTGAGAGAGAAAAATACTAAGAGAAAAAATAAAACCTTAAGAAAGTAACAAATATAAAAGAGAGTAAAAAAGTATGAGATATATGTGATTTTTACCTTATGAAGAAGAATGAGCAAAAATGAGATGATGAGTAAGAGGAGAGGAGAGAGAGAGGTTTGTGCTTGAAAAAGGAAAATGTTTCTTATAATGTGAGTTTAAGTAATTATAAATTTTTTTGAATTCTCTTAGTAGTGAGATACAAAGACTTTATGAATTCTTTTTATGAGACACCAAAACTTTTAGAATTCTCTTTTCATAAATCTTTATATTATATATTGTCTTTTTTACTCTTTGTATTATATCACAATAAAAAAATATATTAGTAAAACGGCCACAGTCGGCCCGCCCCACCTCGCGGGTTGGCAGGGCAGGCCAAAACGAATTGACTCGGCTGAAAGTACTAACCCGCCTTGCCGGCCTGATCTGTTTTGCCATCCCTAGATAATACAAATCACGTGATTCATGTTCTTCTCCAATTAAACGACCCGTTCCATGTTTCTGAATAACAAGAGTTGGAATTAAAAGTTACAAAACAATTTAAAGAACGAGTCAATTGATTTAAAGAAATAAAGTTATAAGGGAAATTAGGAATGAAAAAATAGAATTTAAATTCAGAGAAGGGCTTAAAGGAACATGACCAACTCCTTGTGATTTTACTTTAGATCCATTAGCCACAGTAATCAGATGAGAAATTTTAGGACAGGACATGGAGAAAAATGAGAAACTATTACTAGATATATGATCAGAGGCACCTGAATCAAGAATCCATGAGTTCTGGCCTTCCACAGATTGAGAAATGCATGTTGTTGAAACACTTGACATTGAAAAAGATTGACCTTCGTTGTTGAATTTTCCTGAGTTGAACTTAAAAAATTCTTGGTATTCCTCATCAGAGATCTTCATATATGGTCTTTCAGACTTAGAGACATGGACAATAGTATTTTTGTCAAGAAAACCGTGTAAGGAATAATAGTTTTCTTGCGTGTGCCTCATATTCTTGTAATAAGAACATTGAGAACAACCTTTTGTACTCTCACGTCCTTCTCGAATATTGCGTGTGCCTCATATTCTTGTAACTAAGATTTGATTACTATTAAGGTTCCAACGTAAAACCAATTGACTATGTGTGGAGTAGCCTAACATGTATTTAAACCATACCAAATGACACGAGGTAGGCGATGTGGGACTTTCAACACACCCCCTCCAACGAAGCCTACCAGACCAGACAAAGGGTACTTTTGACCCAACTAAAGGACAACTTTTGGCCCATGACAATAACCGAAAAGATGTTAGGCTTTGACTCTGATACCATGTTAAGGTTCCAACATAAAACCAATTGGCTATGTGTGGAGTATCCTTACATGTATTTAAACCATACAAAATGACATGAGGTAGGCGATGCGAAACTTTCAACAATTACATACATGATCAAAATCGAAGTGCAAACTCTTCAAAATTAGGACCATACAGAACTTATCAAATTTGGAGGTTAACTCCTATAAGATATTTTCCACAAGAAACCTTTTTAATTCCTTCATAATAGGCCTAACTTTTGCAATGTGAGACATCAT